AATGTAAAAAGGTGCAGATCAATACTAAGTTCATAATACTAGCTAAGGGCGTCACTTATGACTTTAAGAAAGTTTCAAATTAGCAAAGTTCACTAAATAGGCTTTTTAATATGCGAATTGGATATTCAACAGTTAGTTGCATGTGTTAATTGTCGCCGATAACAGATACCTAATCATTTCTTACATTAAAAATTCCGACATGTCCGAACAACGGTAAATATTATAAGTTCACGATGTCATGAGATTTTTTTTCGTTGAGTATATCCCTCTATAACCCAACTCATTATTGTTCCAAGCATGTTTTAGTGCAATAGTTTTCAAAACCTATAACAGTGAATGCAGCCCAATATAAATTTATATTTGCCATGTTTAGGGTATAATAACTTTTTTTTCTACATAAAATAAAAAGGGCTGTAATTCATGTAAATAGGTGTATAACATCTTTTTTTATAGTTAACAATTTTTGCACTGGATAACCTTCCTTTACAATCTTCACGGAAAATCTGATTTTTAAATATACTTTCTGAAGAAAAGCGCAACCCAACTTTAGTAATAAAAAATTGATCCAGCCGGTTTTTATACATTCCGAAAATAGAGTTATAAAATTCAAAAATATATAAGTGGAGTGATCAGCACGAAAAAAAAAAGCATAAGCGCGGCCAGAATGAGCGGTTCATTATTTTTAAATATTCTTCTACTTAAAAACAAAAAAGAAAAGTCTTTAAAGGTCAACGTTCGAAAAAGGATAGAACTAGCTAATAAACAGTTGGGAAGTTACCATAAGAAATTCAACTGAGCTTTTCTAATGTGGCTCGTGTTGCTCCCTACAGGCTGACAACAAAACGAGGAATGCCCTGGCAGAGTTTATTAAATTTCCGCCTCGAGTAGTAGAGATCTGGTTCCAAAACCAGCGGTATTACAAAGAAAAGACTGAGACAAAGCGAAGCTCGAGTGGAACTCTCTACCGCTTTCGCTCATAAGAGCCACAAGGGCATTTAAATTTAACCCCCCCCCCCCCCCCCTCCCCCAAGCAGAAGTCGCCAAACGGCAAGCGCAAACTTCCTTTTTCAGTGAAATGGATATACCAGAGCTGCTAGCGTCCGGGTAGTTTTTTAATTACAAATCTTATTTCCTTTTTTGGATTAATAAAAAGTTTCTGGGGAACTCACATTTAATTTACTCTGGAACTACCAATGTAATTTTACTATTAAACTCTATATTGCCTTTTCCACCAATGGACTACTTGAATATAAGTATTCTCGGCGCAATAATTATAGACTCCGCCCCTTGGTTTCCTACGACTCGATGGAGGCTCAAGTTCTGCAACCGAACTTGGCTTTACTAGATTCCCTGTGCTCTTATGACTTATTCCAGCAAAATAAAAATCTTTAGTCCTTTGATTAGTTTGCTTTGTTTACTTTTTTTTAACTAAAAAGTTTCGGAAGTTTTAAAAAAAAATTGTTAGTTTTTTGATTAGAGAAACCAATTATTTATGAAATTTGAATAAGTTTTGAAAGTAAACCAATTTTAAACTCAAAATAGATACAAAACAAATCGCCATAAACACAAAAGAAGAAAATATAATTATGCTATATTTAAATGGAATTAAATACCAGCTCTTTTTGTGATCACAACTTCTTATTTAAATAGCACGTCTACTAAACTACTTGTCGCTTTTATTATTTGCCAAACTAATCATCAGTGCCCCAAAAAAAACATCTAAACTTTATACAGTTTCGGAAAAGGGTATATTATATTATCCTTATATAACTTACTGGTCTATTACGTATTAAAATGTTTATAGGTAAAAACCAAACAAAAAGTTTTTAGGAGAAAGTTACATAACAACGGACGAAAAGAGAATTCAAGTGTTACAATCAAAGAAAGGTTTTTCTCGCCGCAAGTTGAGTACAATTTCTATAAAAACCTTAAAAGTTGTAAATTATGATTAAAAAAGAACCCCTTATAGTATATATTTAGAAAAAATTTATAGTATTTAAAAATAAAAAAAAATTCTCAGTCACAAATTTAGAGACTACCATAACAGATTAACAGGTTTAAAATTAATTATGCGATCTGAAGTTACATTTTTATATAGTTTTATTAATGTATTGCCATAACTTTTAGTTAGCATGAACTAAACGTTACTAACTTTTTTTTGTAGTAGCAATGAGAGAGCTAAAGTCGAGGGTTCCAATACCTTTTATACAAAATGGACCTTTTGGCTGCGGAGCATGTTCCGTGTTGAGGCCTCGTTTCCATAATTTTTTACTCTTACTGTTTTACTTCTCCACATTATTTATTTTTAAACATACTAGTTAATGAAATGTATTCTCAGTACACCTTATAAAGTACCGCTGCTATCATCTTTAGAAGCTTTAAACGATTATGTTTATACACACCATTCAAAAAAAAAAATTATATCTTTCCAAGCAAGAAATACATTCAATAAAAACTTCAGTACAACACCGTTTTTTACTTTTTACCAAACTCTAAGACCAGCGCTATTTTTTGGCCTATGCATTTAACAATTGTGCCCAAAAATCTGAGTTAAATGGTCTTCTTAATCTAAAGAACATCCAAAAATAGACAACGGATTTAGTAGGCAACACGTGTTGACGTACCTTTTCTGTTGATATTGTTACAGTAAAAATTATTAACTAAAGTAGAAAAAATGGAAAGGTGGCCTATCCTTGAACTTCTGAGTGGGTCGAGGCTGTTTGTGCGTGGGACCTTTACGACCGCGGAATAATTTGTAAAGGATCATAAAATAATCATCAGGTACGTAAGTAAATAGGGATACCTCAGCTTCATTATGTCGAATATAATAACCTTTTAGAGGTATTCAAGAAATTAAAAACTAAATAACTATTTTTCGGAACTCAAAAGTTTTAACTTTTCCCAAAATAGGTTTTTAAAACTTTTAATATAATAAAGAGCTCTATTCATTTTTTTAAAAACCGCTTTTTAATTACTTTTATCTAAACCTTGTTAATAACTGGGTTCAATTTTTTTTTCATTAGTCTGAAATGTTACTAAATACTTATATAAGTTTTCTCTTCAAAAACTAGAATAAAATTCTTAAATTCATATATTTATTTAAAGCATTAGCCGCTTAAGCGCCGAAAGTTAAAGCAACCCAGATATATGTTAACTTCAAGTCTAAAAATGGAAAAAACTTCCTGGTTTTTATTTTTGTAAAAACTACAGTGTATGTCGTTTAGACTTTGTGGTTTCATAAATCGCTTTGTATGTTCTTGAAGTGTTTTTAAGAACTCTGGTATAAGTGAGGAAACAGAAAAAAACATTTTTAATTTGCCGAATTATTATAAAATATGCATAATTATCTACATACGATGAGCATAGTGCAAGCCAAGATCGATTTTGTAAATATTAAAGTCTGCTTAATCCTCATAGAATGACGAGGCACTAAGCTAAAGCATATTAAACCCGCTTTACCAGTTCCAAAAGAGTAGAAATTTTCAAACCATCTAATAAGTTCACATAACTGTTTACTTAGACAACTCTTCCAAAAAAAACTGTAAACCACTTTTCTTGCCTGTTTTTTAATAATATAGCTGAATTTGATTGACGGTCAACAATAGAGTACCATCTTAAAATATTCGAATTTTAAGCAAACAGTGAATTCCGAACATAACCAAAATACTTTAAAAAATAAACTCCAACTTCAGAGAGGAACTGAATTTTTTCTATTCCGCAACTTTATAAAATTTTAAAAAAAAAATTAACTAGAAAAAAACAATAACAGATGTCAAGAAATACTTAACTTAATAATAAAGCTGGAAATTAAACATTTATGTGTTGTAAGGAAATTGGTATATACAATGCTAGCTATACACCAAAACTAAACTAAATATGACAAAGAACCCCAAATATTAAAAAAATTGTTAAGATAACAGAATACATTTAATATAAGTAAATTAATTTGTTAAAGAACCAAAATTTCTTGTATAAACTTTTTATATTGGCTTGTATTGTATTATAAAGCAGAGTAACGAGACGAGAAGCTGTATAAAATAAATGTAAGGATTTAAAAATGTATATACTATTTGCAGCCCAAAAATTTTTTACAATAACAAAAATACAGCATCTCTAAGGCTAACTTGAAGATGTCAACAGACTTTCTTTTTTTATTATTAACCGAAAGAAAATTCCTCCGTTAACTCTAAAAACGAAAGTACTTACTAGTTTCTTCGGTCATATCTTTCTTTAAAGCATCGACACTACGCAAATAAAACTATCTCTTACTTTTTAGTTTTAGTTTTTATAATTTTCTATTTTAACTGAAATATAGGAAAAACTAAAAAAAGATTTAAATAATACAGTAAAACTTTAAGATCACTAAGGTATATTTAATAAGCACCTCAGTAAAATATTTATTAGAAAAAAAAAGTTCACTGTTCCTTTTTTTTGAAAGTACACAAAAAGGCAAAGATTATAAGTGCACAATCCTTTTACTAAATTCTGATCGCTGCGAATGTGTTCATAAAAATTTTAGGTGAAGTAGCTTACTAGCTGTCTTTAGCCCTCTAATTATTACTATTCAGAAAACCACACACCTTTCGAGTCAATGTTTGTCTATAAAAAACTACGGTGAACAAAGTTAATTTTAAAATAAAAAACTTAAAATAATTTGTAAAATACAGTCTTACCGTATTAACAAAATATTTTTCCAAAAGCTCCTTGTAGAGAAAAGCGTTTTTTAATGCATATTCAAATTTAAACCTTTTCACCTTGTAACTTTATTTTATGTTTTATAAATAAATCTGTCCTTCAATTTCCATACGGCACTACGACACTAACAAAAAGAAAATTAGTAACATTCCCCCGCTTCGCTGTGCGTTAACGAGTGGCGTACTTCCTTTCGGTGGAAGAGGGCGTGCATAAGCCATGAGATTCTCAATAGCGCGTGGTTTTTTCTACTTTTAAAAAAACTCAGTTTTTGTCAGAGCAACGCAAATAATAAGGCTAAAAGAGATATGGGGAAAAGGCTTAAATTTGCCCAAAGAGGAGCCGCTAATACATATATATCTAGAACACAGGCGTTGAGAAAATTACAACTTTCCTTGTCAGATTTCAGGTTGAAAAATTTGTTACTTCTTGAAATCTGTTGCATAATTTTTATAGGAGGTTGTGTATACTTAAAGGCATTTATCCACGCGTTCCTTCCAATTTTAAACATTTAAAGAAAACTTCAACTTTTTACTTTAGAAAGGATATAAAATTTTTATCGGTTTGTTACTCGAAAAATTCTTATAATTCTTACTTGAGTGCCTTTTTGTTAAATTTTTTTTTTTTTAATAGCATGAGCCCCTTCTTCGCAAGTTTAGGGAGATCAAGGCTTTTACTAGTAAAATACGTCGAGCTCTTGGTAAAGGGGACAAGAACACCGTAGAGCGTTTACGCGAAAATAAGCCTGTTTACACCGTTGATCACTTGGTAAAAGAAAGGTCCGTACCTCTTTATTGCTAAGGTATAGAGCTAATTTTTTTTTAGATATCCCACATTTCTTGATGCGCTTCGAGATTTAGATGATGCTCTTTGCTTAGTGTTTTTATTTAGGATTATGCCCAGGTACACTAGTCATATTTATATTGTTTGTATTCAACCACTCCGTAATTTTTAAAAATTTGAATCCCCTTTTTAATAGATCGAATAAAATTAAAGGCAATCTTGTTTCACTCTGTGATACTCTTTCGAGAGAGTTTATGAATTACGTAATTTACACAAATTCTTTAAGGAAAACTTTTTTATCTATAAAAGGTTAAAGTTTTACTCATTGTTTTTAAATTTTAAATTGTATTAATTTTTTAAAGGCATTTATTATCAAGTTGAGATTATGGGCCAAACTATTACTTGGATAACTCCTTATCTGTTTAAGCAAAAGGTTGTAGACAATTTAAATCATTTAAAATACTAATTGAACTTTGCTTAGATACCAGAAGACGTGGATTTTCACGTTATGCTGAACTTTTTAGAATTTTACGCGACTGCTCTCGGTTTTGTAAATTGTCATCTCTTTCAGTCGTTAGGGTTGAAGTATCCGCCAGAGTAAACGGCATTATTATATAACTAAATCTCGTAGCTAAGTTTTTTTCTTTTATAATGGATTTAACTTTTTTTTGGAATAGAATCGATTTGTTTGTTGATGAAAAATCCGGAAGTCTCAAAGCTTTTAAGATGGTCTCCGTCAGTAATCTTTTTGCTGGTGTTAGCGAAGTTGTTGATTCCAATAATTCTAATAATGCGGTTGTTTTTTTTTCTTTTTTTTTGGATTCCAATTGTTAAGAAGAATTTAAGAATTTAGAAAAAGTCGTGGAAATTGCAGAGCTTAATCCAGATTTGAAAGTACAATTGATTTTTAACTTAGCGAATTTTTTTTTATTAATTAATTCTTTTTCTTTGTAATTCTTTTTACGCGATTTTATTGTTCAGGCTCAACAAAATGCCACAGAAAAAAGAATAGCAACTTTAAAGAGCGTTATAACTTCGATTAGTGCTGCAGATGATAAATTCTACGAGGAAGAGCCTCAGCTCGACCCCAGCAAAACTGTGCTTGATTTATTCGATCCAGCCGGTCCAGATAACGACGTATTATAAAACGATTGTTTAAAGCACAATTAATTAATTTTCTTTTTGTTATTAATTATTAATATACAAGAAAGTCATTGACGATGAAGAGGTCTATCAAAAGCTTTTTTCAGGCTGCACTTTTTTTTTAGGAAGAGAGGCACTTCTTATTATCTTGTTAGCACTTGTTGTAGGCTAACACGCCCAACAGGTCCCCCGAGAATCTCTTGAGTTTGTGATCCGTTCCTGCGGCGGCGTTGTTTCCTGGGAAGGTCTGACCTACGACGAGGCGGATCCTTCCATTACCCATCACGTGGTCGATCGGCCCACCTTGGTGTTTTAATTTATTCAAATCTTTTTTTTTTGGGAATTTATTGGTGTGTACCAAGGCTAAGCGGTCTACTCGGTATTACGTCCAGCCTCAATGGATCTACGACAGCGTCAATGCTAGAAAGCAGCTTCCAGTAGAGCTTTACTTGGAAGGCAATTTCTATATATACAATTATGCCTTAAAAAATTTTTGTTAAATTTTTATGAAGGAAAACTGCTTCCACCTCATTTATCGCCTTTTGTGGATCCCGAAGAAGATGAATATCTTATGAGCCGTAAACTGCAAAAGGAGAGGAAGGCCAGTAGAGCAGTGGACGGTGGAGATTTATTATTATATACTTTTCTCGTTTATTACCTATATGTTGATCTTTACTATTTAATTTATAAATTAATTTATATTTGTTAAGTAGTTTGTATAAGTATAGACTTCTGTATTTCCTTGACTCAAATTTTATATACCAAAGCTTTTTTTTTATATTTAATTATAAATATATAAAAATAATTAATAATAAATTTATTTTTATAGACTTTTTAAAATTTAACTAAAGTTTTTTTAACCTTAAAGTTATTAATATTTTCTTTATAAATCTTTTTTTTTTTTTCGTAGAGGAGAACGAGTTGGTTCTGCATAGAAAAGAACTGGAAGCCGAAAGAGCGGGCATCAGCTTTTCCTCTTCTCTCAATTTCTCTGAGAAAACTTTTGCTTCTCCAAAGAAAAAGAGAAGCGCAATCGATGTTGAAGCAGAAGAGAAGGCGCTTGCTAGAATTATGATGCCTAGAAAACATAAAAAGCTCTACACGAGAATGATGGTATAATTAATTATTTTCGGTTTTCTTAACTCTATTGAAACTTTTATCGAAAGAAAAAAGAGAAACGGAAATTGGCACACATTTCAAAATTGGCTAAAAGGAGGAAAGCTTTGAATAACACTGCACTCTCATAAAAAATTATATAAACTAATTATTTCATTAATGTAATTTGGTTTATCAAATCATAATAAATTTTTATCTTGGTTAAATTTAATGTTTGTTTACATATTTTATTCATTTCTTGTTATTTTAATTATGCTAAGTTTAGTGTAAATTATATAATTTGAAAGGCGATTTTGGCTTTGCTCACCATTTAGAGTCGTGTTGCAAGATTCTATCGTTGTAAAGATGGCTTGTGAGAAGACAACTTTAAAATTGATTCTAATAACTTGAAGAACATTCTAGTAACATATTTGGTGTGCTCTTCATTAACGTGGCGCAGTCTTTAAAAATAAAGTTTTTATATTTAACCTCTCACCATGAGCATAACCTGCAGGTATGCAGAGATACTCGTTAAAGATATTTTCAAATTATTTTTATTTATTTCAAGGTTCACAAACATTAAATAATTGTAAGGGAAGAGGTTAAACAAACTTTATTTTTTGCGCGCTGCACGTCCGTTATTTACTTTCCCAATAACTTTATAACGTATATATTTCGTGTTACATCGCTTGTGTATATATATATAACAAAAGTCTTTCAGTGTTAGCAATTAAACGCAAAAGAGTTAAATAATAAAACATCTAAGATTCATAGTAGAAAAAAAGGAGAGATTTTTCTTTATATTTACTGCTACTTACGCATAAAGCGGTATTATAGTGCTACATACTTTTGTAGTACTACGTTTTCTTTAAAATAACATACCTCACTTAGTTAAGCAATTTCAAAACCGTTCTACTCCTATAACCCTGTATTAATTACATTCATAAACGCTAAAGTATAAGCACTACGCAATAAAAAGTTGAAAGTTAGCACCAGCAAAAACTACTCTGTTGTAGCCCACCTTACCCTGTCTACGGAAGAAGTATTTGTGTTTTCGTATGAAATAAATCTCGCTTTCCTTTCAATGTTAGCATATATTACTTATGAAACCGTACTTTAAATCCATCTTTTTAGTAAATGAATCGAATTTATTGTCTCACTGTTCTTCATAGCTAAGTTTTTAGAGTCATAACAATCTCGGTTTTTAGGTGTATAGCGATATAATTTCCTCCAAGCAATAGCTTTCAGAGAACTGCCTCAATAAAAACTGGCATCTCTTCTTACGTTGCACCTATTATTCTATGTCACTATCACTTGCATGAGGTTTCATTCTCTGTTAAAATATTCTTTAACAATTTCAGGTCTTAATAATTACTCACCTTCCTCTTGACGACAGTAACTTAGCCTAACCTTTTAATTTATTTTTGCACTAGGAGGGTGCTACGTGCTCCTTAATTGTTACTTTAAGTGGTTCTTAACTCAGAACAAGAAAAATAAAGCTGGAAACAAATTTTGTTGCGCAACCAGACTCATGGCTTTATTTTATAAATGGTGTTTCCTGTACCTCGCTCAAGTCGTATTAAAAACACCAAATTTACGAGCTCTCGATAAGGTAATAGCGTACACATTAGCTTTAAGCCTTTTTTTTTAGCCCTGACATACTATGGCCGGACTTCTTCAGACCTTAAGCTGCTTAATCTGAATTCCCCTCTTCTGCAGGGGTTGGGGCGCGAGTGCCCACTAGTGCACGCTCTTTAGAATCCCGAAGATTGGAAAAGCGGAAATTTCGGGTCCTGGCTCCGCCATTCGACCTAATGTGGCGGGAAAACCGCTAAAACCACCACCAAGAGAGGCAGCGTTGGGCACAAGAATCGTGGCCACCTGAAGACACCGGTCAGCACCACTGCCAAACAGGCCTTCCCCCTTAAAAGCTCCTCACCAGAAGGGGGAGCTCTTAGCTTTAAGCTTTTCTTAAAGCAATCCAATATACATAATGGTTTCTTGAAAAAAAAATTTAGCATAATCCATTTTATTTATTTAGAGACCATTGCGCTTGCGCTGTCGGCGATGGTGTGCGCCGTCCCAAATTTCGTAAACTATTAGAACTTATGAGGGAGCCATTACATAAGCAACCCATCAAAGACCGAAAAAGAGAACCGCGCTGGGTGCATGCATCGCCCACCTTTAAATCGAAAATACGGTTTCTAAGGTAAGATTTGATCTCATTAAAAAGAACACTAGGGAGGAATTTACCGCGAAATTTGTAAAGCAATCCTTGCTTATTCGATAACAATAAAGACATTGATTTGTTACCTACTTTAAATTGATGGTACATGTCGTCCACTTTGTCAGGTGATGTAGCCCTTGCGTCGTGGGGTGTCCTTGTCGAAATCTATAATAAAACCCTGGCACAGCGTGGCCTGCGTCAACGAACGCTTTCAAGAAGCTCAAACGACTGCCTCAGCTACTTTGCCAACGGCTGATAGGAGGCTCACAGGCCTGCTTGGCGTGGTATTTTCATAGGCAGCACCACAGTTCCGCAGCGCACGGAAGGTGGCGAGGGCCACTGTATAATGAGGTAGCATAGACTTTCTACAGCACCACCGGTAATTGCTTTAATACCACGTTAGTAATACCATTGGAGTCAGGTACCTTTCGTCTCGGAAAAGGTTTAGTAATCTTCATGATTTCAACTGTGGTGATTGGCTCAAGCTGTTCTTCGGCTTCAGTGGAGACGTTTGATTCGCAAAGCGCTTCATCTGCCACTAAATAGTTAGGTAGTAGTGGTATACTGAGTAGCAAAGTGAGCAGCAAAAGTGTTGTTTTCGTCTCTAAGTTGCCGTCTCGCATAGTAGGTAGTGATAAACGTGCTTGATTTTGGGTTACCTATTAAATTTTCGGAAAGAGGTCCGAAGGCTTCCGTTATCTTCCGATATATTACTTAACTTTATCGCTTACAAACGGCTGACTGTAGGCCCTAACAGCTCTTTCATAATGCACCTGTGTAATCTATTAAGCGTTAAAGGGCGTTGTGACACCGTGGCCACTCGAATGAGGCGTCTTTGCTCGCAGATAAGGGCTTTCAATTCCCCAGGCAAGCGGTTAAAGGCGGAACTCACTTACCCGTTGTTATGGAAGTGTGATTTGCCATAGTCACAGCGGCCTCGAATTTAGCAACAGCAAAGTCAAGTAGGGCAGAAGTCCTTGGTAAGCCGAAGGGGGTTGAAAAGGTTATATTAAGAGCCTCAAAGAATTGAGCTCAGTTCATAAAAGTCTGGTATCCTTAATAATAACTTTTCATGGTCCAAGTTAAGAAGAACAGGCAGAAAGGCCGACGAGAATTCGTAAAGAGACCATTGCCTTCAAAGTTGAATATATGTACTTAGCGATATCTAATATATCTGATGGCCCTGTTTTCGCCATGTGCTATAAATACTGTGGTTCTAGAACGCGCATTCCGAGCTCGTCCTTGTAAGAATTCGAGAATTCGTCCGGTTGGGTACCAACACAGCAGTTTTATGGAAAGGGCCAAGATCTGAATTAACAAGAGGCTCGCTGGGGAACTTGTAAAAGCGGTAAGTACTGACACGGGCCCAGGGCTGCTTATTTTTATTGCCTACTTTATCCTGTATTTATACCTTTACATACAATAAGGTTATATTTCTAAATTTTTAAGAATTAATATAGAGTACCATATTAGTTTTTATAATAGATTCACCTTTTGCTTAGTTTGTTTTAAAAAAAATATTTGTGATGTTGTTTCTGATTGCCCTTTCGCGTAGTTTCTTTGTTTAAACAATAGTGACTATTAACTATAGGCAGAAACAATCTCTTTTTACTGAATTGCTTTGCACTACATCAGAGAGATTTTTAGCCTCGGACGGGCGCGTAGTCACAGATTATATATACCTATGCTGTTTGCATACAAAAGTTGCGCCTTAGATTTCCCCTTTAGCCCCTACTTACACGGCATTGGCGTTCTTAATCATATTTCATTAGAGTTTAAGTTTTGCATTCTCCTGGTTAATAAGTTAAATAAATACTTTTTATCCTGTTTTTTAATTGACTTAACAAGAAGTTTTTTTTATTTTATTAAAATTTTCTGGAACAATATTTTTGGTTATGTCCATGGTAAGAGGTACCGAGGGCTGCATGTGCATATATAACTATGACCCATGCAGTTATTTTTTCTCTCGTCTCTTTTCTTCTGTTAGGGTTTTTTGGTGCTACTAGAGAGCCCAGTGTTACCAAATAATTTTCTAGTGCCTTTAGTTCTTCGACTTCATAATTATATTACATTAAAGCCTATAATATATCTAATTTTTATATTATATAACGTATTGTTTTATCTTTACTTTCGAGGACTTCTGGCCTGCAAATCAACAGTAATAAAAATAAATTATATTGTACTTATAAATAAACTATTAACATTTTTTTAACATTTTTACTGTTTAAATAAAATTAATTTGGTTTGTGTTTTGTTTTTCCATTTCTTGGCTTATTTCTATTTAAATAAATTGGTGTTTTATGTTTTGGGAGTGTTTAAGTATAATCTTACTTTCTATTATTTGATTTATAGCAGTCGTAATTATTGATACTTGATTGCTCTATTACAGTTAGAATTATGAATATTTAGTTAGTGTATTGCTCTGTTACTAGATGTTTCCTGTTACGCCAACAGTTCCTTCTCTATATTACTTACTTGCTGCGCTCACTTTTAATATTCAACGTAATTACCTGCTTATACAACAAATATATAAGTGATACTTTATATTAGCAGCAACCCTTTCGAAAACATCGAACGTTAAGACTATATGGTCTTACTTTATCAAATTTTACTCTAACGACATTTTGTTTTTGCAACTCTTTGGCTCTTCTCTCAACTTATTAAAGTTAACAATATGGTACATTTATTACATAAGCTTCTTTCCTAACAATATATCGATTCTTTTGGGTAATAGGTAATCATTTGTGTTAATTTCAATATCTCTACATACACCTTTGAGTCGTAACACCTTAGGAGACATTTATTTCCACAAAGCTCTTGGAAAACGTCTCTTTGGTATCCTACGTTTGTTTTTAGGTCATATTCCATCAGCAAAGTTATGGAAATAAAATAGACCTAATCTGGCATCTAAAAGCATTATACATTCAATCTACAACTTCATCCACTAGTTCATTCTCCACCTTCCTAAAAGCACTAAATTACTACACTGCTCTTCTACTTAGGCTGGCGGTTCACGTACCTTTAACAAACATTTTAGCTCTCTCTGAACGTAGTCTTAAAATTATACTGCAGTTCCTATGGCTAGGATGAAAACTGGTTTACTATATCGCTTCACCCTAGACTTTAAAAAAGGTATAGAGCAATTAGTTACTCACACAATAAACTAACTAGAGACAAACCTTGGCTAAGTTTATAAGATTAACTAGGCCTATTAGTTTGGAAGCTTAGCTCATAATTTAGATAGTATCTTAATTGAATAGAATAAAAAATTGGTTGTGGTATAAAAATGAATAACATAAATGGTTAACCAGCACCCAGAAAACTCGTTCCTTAAAATTGGAACTCCCAGTAAATACTATAGAGAAAATCCTAATAAAACATTATAAAAATTAGGAAAAACAGATAACTTTAATTCCTATGTAATATAAATTACAGGATGTGACCCTTTAAACGACCAAGTTCAGTATGTCCCATAACTTGACGAAAAGAATTAACTAAGTAAATGTATTATACATTTCTGAGTATGAACATTTAATTTACAGTTGAGATAGACAAAAGAACACTTATTGAAAGAGAAAGCCAAGGCTCTAAAGGCCAAAATCGTACTTTTACGAAGACGAAATTATAATAAGGAAACAAAGGAAATTTATTTTAAAAATAATAAATACATAACTTTATTTAGGATTGATAACAGGATTTAAAAAAAAACAAAAACAAAAAAAAGACGGGGGGCCACAGTCATATAGTAGGAAATTGCACTTAAATACAGTCCATCAAAATCTATAGAAACTAGCATATATAAAAGTATATTAAATATAGCAGTTAATTAAATGTATATGTTTAACATATGCATATTACTAGCTCGAGAAAGTCAAATTTAGTAGTTAAAGAATAAGCAACTCCTCTGAGCAAACCAAGCAAGCGCGCACCAGAGACTGGTAAGAAGCAAAAAAATGTTATTAAAGCAGATAAGCTTTATAGACGTACAGAAGTAAACAATATTAGACCAATAGCATCGATGAGCGCGAAGTAGTATGGATTTCTTATTCATGCTGAAGAAATCTCTCTTTGCGGCCTCCCCTCGACCCTTCAGCAATGGATTTTATTTATTTCATGAGTAATATGTTACTAAGTTTAATGAATTTCCATACACGCAAAAAACTTTTGCAAGGATGTCAGCAAGCATGTCTTTGCTTCTACAATACTTCAAGCTTATACGACCGTCCCCAGGGATTTCTTTCATACGTTGAAATTACAGTCCATTGTATTTAGTAAGTTTGTCCCTAGTAATACCTGCGGCGATATGCATAGCCGGTTGATTATCAATGTTATATATATCTAACTCAACTTAAATTCCTCTGGATTATGTAGAAGAATACACTGGCTATGAAGCTGTAAAAATATTATAAAATTCGAAGTCTCATATAAAAGGAAGATACATTACATTGCTTACCATTACGTTAATACGTGTAAAAGCAGAGAAACCGCCTGTCTAATAAACATGTATATTTTAAAAATATTAGCGAACGCGCTCACCCTTTTTCCAGTTGCAAACATAAAGTACAAGTTATTCATACTTACTCTGAATTCTAGGCTAATAATGATATAGCATGACAGAAGACGCTGAGAAAATGAAGTTTACTAAACCAGCTAACTTGAAATATGGCGATTTTTATAAAAATAAAAAAGTCAATTCCACTTGTTAAAATAGGCAAAAGAATGATTGTTTCAACAACAGTAATATTGATAAGGTAATTTACAAAGATAGTAATAGAAATGGTGAAGGTCGTTATAATAGTCTTAATTACAATAACAATAAAGTTCACGACATTATAATAAAACAGAAGAGGTAGAATAATTATCCTTAAACTAAAATACTACTTTACTAAGTAATATGTAACGAGGTGCCTCCAAAAACCGAGTAGCTTGGAACAAACGTGAAAAAAGGGTGTCTACTACAAAACAGGTAGCCTAGATATAATTAAAATAAACTTACCAAAAACAAGCTAAAAACTAAAGATGCTTTCATCGCTTCGCGCGTAATATAAACATTACCGAAGACTTTAGGTTATCGTAGTTTAATAGAACTGTTGTTTAATTAACAAGTGAATATTAGTTATCGAAATTTCTTAAAAATAAGAGTATTGATATAGTTCTTAGGGGCTCCGTACTAAACTAGACGAAAAATTATATCCTAGAGTTTTTAAATCAAAAGTTAAACACTATAGAAGTGCTTCTAATAAAAACAGACTCCTCTGCGTGCTAAACTGTTTTTTGTTCTAGTAAACAGCTACGAATATAAGAGAAAAAAAATTGATATATCTCTCACAGAAAACCTATTAGCTTTACAGCCACACACTTAGGTCGCTATGCGACCAGTACAAAATCGGAGGGAAAAACAGACTCTCAAGTAATTTATAAGCATCATCTTCATTATTTAAAACCGTCCTAAACTGGCAAAAAACCACTAATAATACGTCCGTTATAAAAAAGCTTTCACAAACTCAAACAGTAATAGGCACAATAGCATATAAAAAAAGGAAATAGAGGTCTTCTGAAAATTCTCATCTGAAGTGCAAAAAGGCGAAAAGAGAGAGTACAAAACTATAAATCGGAAGCTATTCAAATATAAAAGATTTTACATAGAAAAGAGAAAAGAGCAATCGACATTCAGTGAGTTTTATAATAAAAAACTTAAATCATCTCCCCACAATAGTATAGCTAAATAAAATTTTTCTCAAGGATAAAAAAATATAAACTGCAAATTGATTTATTTTGAATTGCTTTTATAAACTTTCCTCTCTCCGGAAAAAGACAGACTTTACTTAACTTTGTAATAAAGCTGATTACACCAAAAAGTTTTTATAAATTTTTCAAGTATTCAATAAGGCAGAGAGAGTGGTTAAGCAAGTTTGAGACGTTGCTCCAAGCAATCTTGTGCGTCAGCTGCACCTTCTCCAGCGTAGCCAGTAGTTCAGTATTTTCGGCAACCATTCGGCCGTGTTGCTAAGAAAAGCATTAATATGTGAAATAATCAATAGGGAGTACGGCGGAATAGACAAAGTAACCTTTAAAAATATAGACATATAAGTCTCTAACAGCTCAAAATTGCGGCCGCTAAGAAGTTCGACGTTAACAAGCTTCATAAATTTCTGCAGAGCCTCCGCAGACCTTTGCAACAACATAAATAACACACAAAAAAAATGAATAAAGCGGTACTGGTACTTGATGGTACGAATTTCCAGATCCACAGCTGACGGAGTCATGTGGCCTAAGACGTCCGTAAGTCTTTTAGCTGGAAAACAAAACATCAAATGAGACACTCATTAACAAATAGGAAGAAGTACAATCGTCTCCACTAGAAGAGCTACAAAGAAAAGTTTGCAAAGGGGGCAACAGAACAGAAGAGGCGGGTGCCAAGACGCGACTGGCAGATGAACTTCTATTAAGTATATTTTGCAGCTCCTCTTGAGTTTCATCGAGAGCGAACTTGGGAGTGAGCCCTGGAAGAAGATATTATACAGTGCTCGTAGCATATATATGAAAAGTTACCAGGAAGTGTGGAGAGAAAAAAAGGGGCCTTTGGTGCTTTTTGTGGAGCCTCAACTGGTTTGTTGCGCTCCTAATAAGTATTAATAAATAATAATATGATAAAAAGGGAGCACAGACTTTGATAAGATCCAGCTGGCTCAATGTCTGCCAGTAATTCATTGGCTTCAAGGAAAGAGTGAGACACCTAACGCCTAGTTGATTGGGTGACGGATGGGGTACTAACGATTCGTCCTCAGCAAATGTAACGCTAGCTGGCCAATCTTCTTCATCACTGTGGCATGAGGTACCAATAGAAGGCATGTCTATATAGTTCGGCTGAAAGTTGTCGGGTAGAAAAGCGGTTTGAGAGTTTGAAAACAGAGTTTTATTGGCCCTGATGTTCATGTTACACGCAAGCACGGCGAGCGATAAAAAAAATTAAGAGAACCAAAGGAAGATGCCCAAATGGTCTACATGGGAAGTGGCCAGGTACTGACCAGTAGGCGCAAAGGAGAGAGACGTGACCGGAAAGCAGACCAAAAAGGCATCCAGAAGTCTACCGGATGGAATATCCCAGATACGCACGCTTCCATCCATTGAAGCGCTGACTAGCCAACGGCCATCCGGACTAAAATCCTTCAAAATAATAGTCAAATTACTATTTTTCAAAGAGTGCGATTACAGAGTCTAACAACGTCGGTAATGCGGTTTGCATGACCACGGAAAGTGCGCATGAGCTGCTGCGTCTCTGCATCGTAGACACTGCGCAAAAAACATATTGAGGTCAATAAACCTCGCAGAAAAACATGCCAGCGTGACACAAACCGAACAACAAAGTTGTCGCAGACCAGTGCTAGCATATTGGTTGGCCGATGTAAACGAGCATGAGCAACTGGAGCGCCCAAGTTTTGCTCTCCCAGGCATTTCCGCGTCTCAAAATCCCAGAACTTCACTTTGCCATTCGCGCAAACGGTTATTACACGTGCATTAGTCGCGTCGGTGCATATTCCGCGAATAGCGCCGCTATGTGCTGTTAGTATTCCGGTAGTTAAATGACACGTCAGCAAGCCAATGGGTGATGCGGTTACCAGGTCTGCCGTACATGCCACGGTGCAGTCCGGATTGCATGTTGTATTTGTCCACTTGGCCGTTAGACAGGCCAATGAAGGCGAAATTCCCACAAGCGCTGAGCTCAACTCTCCTAGCCACGGCGGCATGCTGGACGTTGAAAGATGAGGGTGTGGAGGGGACCCGTGCGCCTTTAATGTCGATCTCTCCCCCAATCACCGACGTTTCCACTACAAAAGGCGGCTTAAGCACATGAGACCCGATAACTTTGTCGGCAAACTTCCAGGTGCGAGCCTCAAGCTCGTGCAGGTGACAGGTGACAATGTTATCCCAGTCTCGCTCTCTTAAGAAAACCGTCACAACGCGAAGAGTGCGTAAAGCAGAAAAGGTTGGACCTGGCCGCGCAAGAAGCAAAGTCCACAATAGGAGAAAACTTTAAGTCGTCCGCGGTTATACTAAGCTGGTATTTTTCCAAAGAGTAAACAGCAAATAAAGCTGAAGGCTCTCATGCATCAACGCTGACCTTCTTAGCCCGCTTCAGTAAGTGGCCTTGAGAAAATTCTACGTTTTGCGAGTCCCGGAGGGAACATGTAAGACGCAGAGCTTTATCCATCCCTGTGGACAATCCACAAGTAATGAGAGATATTCAGTAATAGTAATAATTCAATAAAAATATATAAAAACCAGAACTCAAGAGATATCTTCCCTCTTCGTCGTAATGTCTCACCTTGACTGGCGGCGCGCTGGTAGTAAAACGGATTCCGGGTCCATTAATAACTAGTCTAGGGGTATACAAACCTGTGACCGGAGCGAGACCGAAGTAGGCGAGGATTCGCGTCAGGTCGATCAGAAATCCACATCTTCATGACAATGTGGCGTCGTTAAAGTATTATAAAGCAGAGAGGAGGTCATCTAACCTTGATAGAATTATCAGATCCAATCGTGACCAGGACCGGCTGGGAAGGTAAGTATTCCACGCATGTCACCTGGCCACAATGGGGTTCGGTCAGGGCGCTAATTAACCGGCGCTGTTCTAAACTCCAGAAAAGCAGGCGACCGCCTGACGCTGTGACTAGCACGGCATGCTCGTCTGAAAATGACGAGCGCAACTATGAGGGGCTACGTAACAGCAAAGCCCTTATGAATACCCGTCCGGAAAGCTATGGCGGTGACGGGACCATATTCCTGGTGAAAAGAGACCACCATCTGGTCGAAGCGTATGTTGTGAATGATCTGACCACGTGTTAACAAACGACATAAGGAGAACATGAGTTGTGAATATAGCAAGAAGTACGATGTGTCCGTTCTGCAGTCCGACCCCCACAACATCCACGGCCGGGGCAGACACGAGACAAACTACTTCGCTGTTCCAACCAGAAAATTCATAGACAAGATTTCGAGAGCGAATATTCCAAAGTTGCAGTTTGCCTTCGACGGAACCGAGCAGGATCTTATTAAGATAGGTGCTGGGATGAGTCAAGGCGCTGATAGTGAAAAAACTTTGACTAAAGTCAATCTCCCCGCACAATTCTACATGTAAATCAAATCCAGGCGCACAAAATATATAAAAAAGGACAAAAAAGTAAATGCTCTATAAAAAAGGGCTACATGCGCTACCTCCATCTGTAACAGAGTGCAACTTTAACAATTTTCCATCACTGATGGAGATTAAAGTTTCTCCGAACAAATAAAGTAGGCAAATAGGCGATTGATGCGAATTGATTTTTTTAACCTGTCAAAATAATAACTACGAAGGTTAAATCGCGCGTTTAAGCAATAGTTACAAGTTTTCCCCGAAGAAACCATAACAAATCAGTCCCAGCAGCAGCGATAGTAAAGTCATTGTAAGCGGTAAGACAGGAAATATCTTGTTCCAGTTGAGGTCCAACAAACAGAAGTTGAAGTTTTTTACACTACATATATTATAAAACAAATAAAATATTAAATGAAAAAAGAGTAACTGTTATATAGCATAACACCTACAAAAACAAAATTTATAACTGCTTAATTCCGCTACTATAAAAGTTAATTTGTTCCGAAATAATATTAACTTTATAAGATGCAATCTGCATAAATAACAGAAGAATAGATAAGGGAAAAACAGAAAAAAAAATAAGCAAAATCTACGGCTTAAAAAACAATTAATTTTTTAAAAGCTAATTAAAATTTTATATTTTAAAAAAAATTAAATAGGTCCCTGGGCGAACTACAGATTGGAGACAAAATTCTATAAAAAGCAATGACTAAAGCGATGTAAGGTGCAAAAAGATACATTATAAATATGAAACGCATTTCCAACGGAAGTGGTCAAAAAGAATTCCGATCCTTTCCTTTGTAAAACAAACGGGACATAGTTTGTAACGTAGCCTAAAGGCCTGTAAGGTAAGAACACTTGACTTGGTCGGGTGGACAGTGCTGGCATTTTAGTGCAAACGGGGGAACAGAATTTAGGTTATAGCCAAGATGGGTGAGTGGGGCTCACGATTCCACGAGGTTTGACGCCAACTTGGCCTGCAGATGTTTACCTTTCTCATTTGTACAGAGGTTGTAATTACCTTTACAACAGTCGACTTGACGGACGGCTTACTATTTGCGAAATGGTTTGCCTGGGATCAATGTCTTCCTATATGTAGTACTAAAAAATCCCTTTAATATCTTATTTTTTAACGTTATAAAAAGTAGATTACGCGCTTGGTCCTTAACCTGACTTGTGTCGTAATTTTTTCTATTTTCAAGTTTGCAAGTATCGGCTTTAGATGGTTTTTTGTCTTAATATCTAGCAGACATAAATATGTGTAATGCACAATTTTGGCCCGAATTACGTTTCGGATTCTTCGAATTTTTAAATTGGCTGTTTAGAGGCTGGTTGTAAAGACAAAAAAATTGTGCAATGTATAAATAATCATATACTTTTCTTCTAGAGTATTGTTTACAAAATATGATAAACCTTTTTGAAATGGTTGGTATTGCGATTTGAAATAAAAATAAACATTTTTTCCTATTATAGCTTAATTTATATATAACCTTATAAATATTAATTGTTGTATAACAGAAGTAGATGCTTATAGTTTTCGTGTAAAAAGTGGATATTAGCAAGTTTACCTGAACCCTAAAACTCAGAAATATACATACAGTTAATAGGCTTCGGTTTGAACACATGCACAATTGGTTTAGATGGGGCAGGTTACCATTTTAACCCCGGAATGATGTGCAAGGACTCTTTTTCCCTGCGAGATTTATGTTTTTAGCTATAAGCGGGCCAAGCAGCTGATATAGTTGTTCATTTTACTAGGCTAAACTATCTTCTCATTATAAGTTTGAATGGAGCCGGCGTCTAGCGAAATTAGGGAAGATGTTTATTCTCGTCAACTTTATGCGTATGGCGCCGAAGCAATGAAAAACATGGCCGGAGCAAACGTATTATTTATTGGACTTGCTGCTCTCGGGGTAGAAATAGGTTACTATTTTATTTGCTTCTATCGTCTATTTTTAAAAGATTTCCAAGTGAGACTTATTAAAATTGATTTAAACCTAAATTGAGCTAATTGTAGTAAAAAAAATTAATAACTTACTGATGCCTAATTTAATTTTTTGACGCAATATGGGAATATTCACACTTTTTTTTCTAGTTTTTAATTTTTCTTCGTTCTATATTTTACTTACTAGCCAAGAATGTGGTTTTAAGTGGGGTTAAAACCTGTGTCTTTTATGACAATAACTTGGTGCAGAAGAGAGATTTATCATCGCACTTTTTTCTTACCGTGGAGGATATCGGTAAGAAGAGAGCGCATGTGGTAACACCAAGACTCCAGGAACTTAACTCTTTGGTAGCTTGCTCTTTTTATGAAGACGACCTCACTGTTGAATTAATTTCACGCTTTTCGGTACTTTGGGTATCGTAGTTAGTTGGATCCTCGTAAATTTTTTTTTAGGTAGTCGTGTGTACCAACTTATCCTTCCAAGACCAGTTGTGCATTAATGAAATGACTCGTATAATCGGCTTACCCTTCATCTCTGCACGGACGGCTGGACTTTTCGGCTATTTATTTAATGACTTTGGGCCAAAATTTGAAGTTTTCGATACTAACGGTGAGGAATGCGCTGCACAAATGATCGCGTCTATCAACGATGAAGGGACTGTGACTTGCCTGGAAGACAAGAGACATGGCCTTGAAACTGGCGATTATGTGACCTTTTCTGAAATCGAGGGGATGACTGAACTGAACAACTGCCCCCCCATAAAAGTGAAAGTTACAGGGCCATACACTTTTGAGATCGGTGACACCTCGTCTTACTCAAAATACGTCCGTGGTGGTCTCGTTCAACAAGTCAAGATGCCCAAGATCTTTGAGTTTGTTAGTCTTAATTTAAAACTTTGTATATATAACCTTTTTTTTATTTACTTTCACAATTTAAGAAAAGTTTGCGCGAACAATTGCGGGAACCTAGAATTCTACCGTTCGACTTTTCTAAACTTGATAATCCCATCCAAATGCATTTGGGCTTTTTGGCCCTCGATTTGTTTTCTGTACGGCAAGGCCACCTTCCCCGTCCGTATAATTCTCGGGATCTCTCCATATTTTTTAAATTTGTTGATGAGGTAAAATCTGAAGCTCACGGGGACATCAAGATTTCCAAAAAATATCTATCAAATCTTTGTTATCAAGCGTCTGGCGATCTGCCCCCCATGCAATCAGTCCTTGGAGGCTTCGCTGCTCAAGAGGTTATGAAGGTACTCTTCTAGCAAGTTTCTTTTATTTTCTGCTATTTTGATTTTTTCCTCTTTGGTAAATGAAAGGCAACCAGCAAAAAGTTTACCCCCTTGCAGCAATTTTTTTACTTCGACAGTCTCGAAAGCATGCCGCCCGATGCTCAGTTGAACGAAGAAGACTGCATCCCTGTATCCCTGCTCTGAGTTTTTTTCTTTTCATAGTTAAACTCTTCATGAGATTTTAGGCTGATTCCCGTTATGACGGACAATTTGCTGTCTTTGGGCAAAACTACCATTGCAAACTCCGTAACCTGAAGACCTTTCTAGTCGGATCAGGTGCTATTGGGTGCGAAATCCTTAAAAATTGGGCGTTGTGCGGGATAGGAAGCAGCGACATCGGTTCTATAAAACCTTTGCGCTTGAGCCGACTTCAGGCGCTATCTCATATCTGTTGCTTAGGCAGCATTAACGTCACGGATATGGACACCATCGAAAAAAGCAACCTCAACAGACAATTTTTATTTCGTGACTCGAACGTTTCGCAGCCGAAAAGCCTTGTAGCTAGCCAGGCAGTCAAGCACATGAACGGAGCCATCAATATCCAAGCCTACCAGGATCGCGTCGGCGAGGAGACTGAAAATGTCTTTGACGATGACTTCTTTGAACAGCTGGACGTCGTTGTCAACGCTCTGGACAACGTGGAAGCTAGAAGGTATAGTCGTTATGCCTCGCACGCCATCAGCTGCAATGAACCGCGCTACGCAGATACGTCGATTGCCGCTGTGTTTTTTATTGCAAGCCATTACTGGAAAGCGGGACTCTTGGCACGAAGGGAAACACCCAAGTCGTCATCCCTTATCTTACGGAGTCCTACAGCAGCTCGCAGGATCCTCCCGAGAAGTCGATCCCGATGTGCACTCTTAAAAACTTTCCTTATGCTATCGAGCATACGATCCAGTGGGCTCGCGAATCGTTTGAGGGCCTTTTCATGCGGGATCCGGAGACCGTGAACCAATACATCGACAATGACACGTTTCTTGGTCAGCTGCAGAAACAGCCCGATTCCACTCAGGTGCATAAAAGTTTCTTAAAAATGTCTTCTTTCTGACAATGCATTACTCCAGAAAGAAGCACTTGACATCATACAGAAATCGTTAGTTTACGAAAGGCCGCGCAACTTCGCAGATTGTGTTTCCTGGGCACGACTTTTATTTCAAGAATACTATTTCAACAAGATTGCCCAGTTGCTGTACAACTTTCCTAAAGACTCGCTTACCTCCTCGGGTCTTCCTTTTTGGTCGTATCCTAAAAGATGTCCCACTCCCATCCTTTTCGACATGAACAAAGTATGTTTAACGTTTTCCTGATTCCATTTTCGTTATAAAACATTGAATTAAATAATTAGAGCCTCCATTTGAGCTTTATCGTGGCAGCGGCGAACCTCCGGGCTGCTCTTTATGGCATCCCCTCGTGTCGTGATTTGTATGTTTCTCGCTTTTCACAATTGCTTGGCGCTAATTTATCGATTATCCCTTCTTCCTCCAGAAACTTTATAAAGTGCGCCTTAACGGAAACTCATTTGCCAGAATTTAAACCTAAAAGTAATGTCCGGATTCAAGTCTCAGAGAACGAGAGTATCGAGCCTGAAAGTGCCGATCTTGAAGAACTCCGTCGATTATATTCGTCACTGCCCCTACGAGACTCTTCCTTGAAACTGACTCCGTTATACTTCGAGAAGGACGATGACAATAACTTCCATGTCGATTATATAACGGCATGCTCCAATCTTCGAGCCACAGCCTATAATATTGCGCACGCGGATCGGCTCAAAACCAAAGGCATCGCCGGCAAAATTATTCCGGCAGTCGCTACCACCACAAGTATGATTGCCGGGTTGGTGTGTCTCGAGCTGTACAAGGTGCCTTTTCGTTGCTGGGGTTTATGATGATGCTTGCATTATTATGTTATACTTAACAGGTTGCTTTTGAAAACAGGAAGTTGGACTCCTATAAGTGCGGTTTTATCAATCTGGCATTGCCTTTGGTCACCTTTTCCGAGCCTATTGCCGCTCCCAAAGCAAAATATAATGGCAAGGAGTTTACACTGTGGGACCGTATAGAGATTTACGGCGAGATACTTATCAAAGATCTTATAAAGAAGCTGGAGGAGGAGCACCAAATCAACGTCATGATCATCTCCTGCGGCGTTAGCATGTTGTATGCTGTCTTTATGCCCAAAGAAAAGCGCAAAGAGCGCTACGAGACGACAGTGGAAAAGCTCTATGTGTCCACCACCCACATGCCCATCCCCCCGCACGTGAAATCGCTGACCATCGAAGTGCTTTGTACCGACAAAGACGGTGAAGATGTGGAGTTTCCTTTCGTGCGTTACTACCTTAAAAAATAAACAACTTGCACATTGAAAGAGATTTTCATTAACTAGTTACTGACAAAAAATAGTGACACATTTTTATTATTATAAAAACGGGATCATCCGTTAATCTCTCCAAGAATTCTTTCTTTGGCGAATTTCTGCAAGAACCTAGGAAGAAAGAATTTTAAATTTTCATGAAAAATTAAGTTGCACGTTTACTTTTATTGGATCCGTCTGGCCAGCAGCCTCGCGTATTGCCTTTTCGTTAACCCGCATAAATGGATTTGTCTTTTTTTCACAACCAATAGTGGAGGGGACCGTGGGTAGGCCTGACACGATTTCAAAACTAGTGTATTCGAGAGTTTACTAAGTATACCTCTTTCGCGTTGGGATACTGCCCACTTAAATTTATCTTTAAGAACTACATTGTTAGGATCCACGGTAAAAGCAAAACGAATATTTTTGACAGTGTACTCGTGGCCTACGTATACCTTAAAAAGATACATAAGAATAGGTTGTCTTTATAGATGATAAACTCACTTCTGTTGCTTCTGGTAGTTTTCCCAATTTATGGTAAAGAGCTTCGTACATTTGTTCGGGGGTTCCCGAGTTAAAGTTACCACAACCTATGATTAATTACAAACAGAACACTTAGTCTAACCGAAAAGTTTGTAGAAAAAAGAGTAAACTTCGCCACCACAAACAAAAAGCGTGTCTCCGGTAAACACAGCTCCTGTCATTTTCAAGTTAATAGAATTACAAACGGCACTAAAAAAGGAAAACCTTCTCTGCTATTTATTTTACTTGAGACGTGGTAGCATACGTGGCCTTGAGTATGGCAAGGCGTGTACAGTACTTTAATTAGAGTGTCTGAGCCCAAATCGATTTGGTCATCTTGTTTTACTTCTCTAGTAACAGAGTCTACAAAATCATTAAATCCTCCGTATACGGGAATGTTATCGTTATTTAATAAAGTTAGCATCTCCTTGTTTCCCCCCGCATGATCAAAGTGAGAATGTGTGGTCAGAATCATGCAGATTTTTGCAGAGCGTTTTTTAACTTCTTTTATAACTTTAGTTGGTTCCACGCAGTCAACAACTGCAGTTTCTTTAGTACTTTCATCAATAACTAAGTAAGCATAGTTGTCCTCTAAAACCGGAACAGGTACGACCTGAAACATTGCCAACAGAGTGTCTCCCCCTGTCCCCCAGCGGTACCATGATGTATACATTTCCGGCTTGGAAGTGTAAACTAAACCATTATATTGCGAAAAGTGCAACTCCATGACAATATCTTTTTTTTATAGTCTCATATCTTTTTTTTTTCTTCTATATTTTTGATTAAAATTTTTTTTTGTGTCAATTTCTTTTGGTTTCACGTCTGTTAAGCTTTGCTTTTAAGTAGCTAACTTTACTACTCTTTGCCATCTAGCAATGAATGATTAAAAGCGAGCTAAACGGTTATTCCCGACTGTTTATTTAGATGCTAAAACAAATTTCCAATATTTAAAATAATATTACTATACCGCATATAGTAGTAATCATACATGCTGAAAGAGTTTAACCAAGTAAAAGAGTATGGGTCCGTTTTTGACCAGATTATCTGCGATATTTCTTAAACTCATTTTGATCGCATGGATAAACCTTGTTGCAACTCTTTCATAGCAAATATTTCAGCCAAAAATAAGGCAACTTACGAAGAGACGAGTTCTTGTTCATGGAATTTGCAAAGATAATAATACAAGGGCTCTCACGGACTTGTACCAAATTATATAATGTTTATCTGAGCAAAAAATCAGAATTGTGGAACTATTAGAGTAACAGCTTATTAATGAAACGCATCTTTAATATTAAATGGTAGAGCTTGGACTCAAACTGTTAAATTTCCCACCTCGCCAAAAAATAAACTCCTCCACCTTAAGTTGGACAGGAAATCACTTATCAAGGTAGTAAGTCCTAACAAACAGAAGCGACTTTTTTAAATATATTTAGGGTGGTCTCGAGTTTCGAAGCATGTACTTTCAAGAAGGATTAATAACATAGCTTATAAGTTGAGTATCTTTGTTACTGTTTTCTTAATCGATGAAAGTAGATAAAGATTTTATTTCTTCTAATATTAACTTTTAAATATGAATCCAAGGTATTAAAATATATGAAGATTTTATTAGTAGAAGTACAAGTACAAAAGGAAGTAAATTCTTCACTCACTTTGGGCGGTGTATTCATAGACTCACTTTATGAGGGAGGTAGCAGCAGTTATATTCGTTTCCTTTAATTTTTTTTATTAACTGTTTCAAGCTGTTACCACATTAAATTTGGCCTAGCTTCGGTCAAGGTCCTCGTTTTATTGTAAAAAATGATTTCCGGTATTAACAGCTTGTATCTTGTACTTATTGCCGCATACGTTTGGTTAAACGTTCTTTCCCTGGCTAATGTTGTTGTAGTATGGAATTGCTTAAAGATTTTGTTGTTAGGATATTGTGGAGTAATTGCCTTGATAAAGTACTCCTAAAGTGAGTTTCAAATATTATACGGACTGACTTATTTGCCTTTTTTTGTGTGTGTTAAGGTGTAAACTTTGGTAAGTCGATCCAATGTTACAGCATAATATTTAGTAATTCATTTAGGTAAGTATCCTCTCTTATATATGCTTAACTTTTTAAAATTTTAAAAAGTCAATTTACAAACCCTTTGTTTGAGTTGAATTAATCTTTATTCACGGCGCTATAAAGTAATTACTAATAAAGTTAGAATTGTAGATGTTAAAAATGAGAGAATAAGAAGAGATGATGACGCTTTCATGATCAATATACTATTCCAAGTACTAACAATTGTGTTTAATAAAAAATTGCTGATCTCTTGACTTGGAACTTTAGAGTTGTTTTCTTAGTACCAAATTAAACTGTTTATTTATCTTAAGGTACCAAAATATCACAATTTTTATATAGATGGGCAGTCGTAAGAAAACGAATAGAGTAGTCATGACCGAGAGAGAGGAGGCCAGGATCTCATCCGAGAACACTCAAGCTGAAATAAAGGCTTTAAATGAAGAAAAGGAGGATTTAATACAATCTATAAAAAAACTGAGAGAAATAAAAGATAACCTCGTTAGTTCAAGCAAATTAAAAAAGACTGAGAGGCTACTAAAGAAAGAAAAGCAAAAACTAATAACTGAAACTAGAAAAAGGCGTACCTTGAAGAGCATTCTTTGGGCTTTAATATTTTTTATGGTTTCATACTTTGTATATGCCAGTTTGAATTCGGATCGTGCAACCTTCAAAAGTAGCTTTGATTTATTAGTCAACAACACTCTTAGCGTTTTCCCGCTCTTTTCTGTTGTTGATAATGGAGCGGTGGGCACAAAACTTTTTAAACATGGCTATAAACTGGAACATCCAGTTGTTCTTATTCCCGGTTTTGTGGTCTATTTTTTTAGTTTGTTTATATTGATTTAATTTATCTTGCATAAACTAAATAATAGAGTACGGGTCTCGAAGTGTGGCAGCAGCACGAACTCTGCTCTTCTACTATGCACAGAACTAGAGTCTGGGGCTCAATTTCTATGGCAAAAGCATTTTTTACGTTAACTTAGCATTAATTGCTTTAAAGAAAAGCTTTAGTTACTATTCGTTTCTTAGGGATTTTCGTTGCTGGTTTCGACATATGTCGTTAAATAGATCAACTGGTTTAGACCCGGAGGGCATTAAAGTTCGGCCCGTCGATAGCTTTTCAGGAGCAGCGGAATTTAACGAATTCTATTGGCTTTGGAATAAGGTTATAAAACCTGTTGTAGTTTTCTCTTATACTATTTAAATTTTTGGACGCAGATCATTGATAATTTAGCAAAAGTAGGTTACGACTCGAACACAATCCACATGGTTACCTACGACTGTAATTACTTTTTAGAGCACGTTTTAAACTCTTCTTGATAAAACGCTCCCTTTACTTCGTTCGCACCAGGGAGGCTTTCTTTTGTTAATTTAGAAATTAGAGACAGGCTTTTTACAAGATTGAAAACTCAAGTCGAGCTTATGAAACTAATACACTCCAAAAAGGTTTCACTTTGAAGGTAACAAAGAATAAAAGATAAAATATCATAAGTAGGTGGTTTTTATGAGCCACTCCTACGGTACTCAATTGCTTTTGTATTTTTTAAAGTAAGTACTAAACCCACTGGCTTCACGTAACGTATAGTTCGCCCTGCTTTGCGTAAATGTGCTTTGTTTACTGTAAAGTGTGCTTTGTTATAAGCTAGTACAGAGCGCATCCCTGCGTACATGCGCCTTTGTACTGTTTTCAATGGTTGATCTTTATAATAAAATATACCTTCTCAAGATGGGCGGAAAGCCAGCAAGGTGGTAAAGGCGGAGATTCCTGGGTTGATACACATGTCCATGCTATTTGCAACATTGGTACTTATGCTTACAATTAATAATTTAATTTACACATCAATACTACTTCCTTAGCGGGCTCTCTTCTTGGTGTCCCTAAAAGCTTTTCCGCCATTTTAAGTGGCGAAATGAAGGATACCTCTCAGCTCGGTGCTCTAGTTGAAGTTTGTTCTAAATGTTCTACTAATAAACCAGAAAAGGAGGGACCCTAAATGAGCTGCTGGAATTCTGGTCTGTTTCCAGTCGAAAGCAGCGTGTAGATCTATTTCGTACATGGCACTCTCTTTTCACGATGCTCCCTATTGGTATGCTTTGCTCGCTGTTCTTTACTGCGTGCGCGGATTCCTGTTTCTTTAGGGGGAGCCGAGGTCTGGGGGGACGATGGGTCGACTCCCGAAGAGCCCTCACCTCAGGGAGCCAATAGGAGCAACCTCTTTGCACCCCCACTGGTTAATGGATTATTTGCACACGTGGAAGAAACTTGTGCGGATGCCAATGTGAATGCTGCCAACTTGCGGAACTTTTTGAAGAACGAACTTACTGGTGCGATTTTCTACTATTTTGAATTGTACGCTTTTGAGCTTGAGCAATGCATCTTTACAGGCTCGGGCTCAATGCCGTTGAATATGAGTTTTGGTTATTCGAAGGTTTCTGTTTGAGTTTGCTTTTGTTTTTGGTTTTACTTTCATGGTACTGATAGACTCCGTCAGCGAACGATCACAATCCTTTGAAATGGCACAACCCTCTAGAGGTTCGGCTTCCCTACAGTCCCAACCTGACTATCTACTGTATTGGCATCCTTGAACTCATTAATTCCTTTTCAGTGATCCAAATAAAACGAGACAGCTTTCTATGGCGTAGGAAAACCGACAGAACGAGGATTCCGGTACAGATGCAATCAGAAGTTCAAGTACTCCTTCGTCATCAATACCAACTATAATGAGGACACGTGGATCAACGGAGTTCGATTTTCTGAGGGCGACGGGACTGTACCTCTGATTAGCCTTGGCTATCTCTCCGCCAAGCAGTGGCGAACTCGATCTCACAATCCCGCTGGATCCAAGATCATCACTCACGAGATCGCCCACAATCGTAAATAAGCACTTCATGCTCAGCCGCTTACGTTTTGAACTCTTATGCGGGTTGCTCAGCTCACTGGATCAGCCCCCGAGGAGGCGACTTCACTGGAGACCATGTCGACATCTTAGGCAATTATGTGCTTAACGAAGCGCTCGTAAAAATTGCTTGTGGTAGGCATCGCCTTTACACCCTCGCACTCCTCTGTGATTGTAACATCTGACCTGTAGGCTCCACCGTGCAGCAGCATTTTATCTCCAACATACAATCAATTTCAGAGGCCGTTTATGATAGACTTGAGAACTCGCAGTGATAGAGACAATTTATATTAATTTGCGTTTCCAAGTACTATAATTAATAATATTATGATGCTAAATACAAAAAAACACTTAGAAAAGAATTTTACTGTTAATAAAAAAAATTGGCAGGTTTAGCAGTGTGTTATGTCTAGTTACTCGCATATACTGCTAGAGAGGGTCTTTGAAGAGAAAATGTTTATGAGAAATTAATAAACTATATTGCACTTCAACGTGCTGTTAGTCTGTCAAGGCTTAAACTAAAGAGTTGTGGTGCTCTCCATCTCGATTTTTCAAGACTACATAGCGTGAATCTAAAACGCTTGTCCTACCAGTATAAAGAGATTATAAACATATTAAAGTTCGTGATTTCGAAATAAAACAGCTTCCAATTGCGTCCTAAAAGGGGGGGTTCTATCTAATAAGGGGGAGAGCATTCATCGAAGAGGTTCTGAAAAGTCAGGTAGTCAGGAGCGTGGTTAGTCCTGTAGTGATTAAATACGCAAAGCTATCATAATGGGATCGATAGATGTTTTGGTAGCTCAACGTTTAAGAGCAACAAAAATTGTATAAGTAATTTATCGACCGAAAATGTGAGCTCTCACCGTTGTTCAGCGGTTAGAGCATTCTCACGCATTCTCAAGGTCGCGGGTCGAATCCCGTTTTTCTGGTTTGGTGGTTACGTGTACAACTTCCCTATAAATAAAATTTTGATAAAGACCACTGACGCATACTAAAGGCCGTGGTTTTTGACTCTTTTTCGGTCTTTGATGGGTTGCCTATATAACTCTGCCTTCATCTTTATAAATTTAATAGAATTTAGGGAAAATTATAAAAAGTTATAAACCAAAATGAAAAACATGTAAAAGTATAAATATAAATAATTAACAAAGAAATAAAATTAAACAGATCAAAGGGGGAGACAGTTAGATTAACTGATGCAGTTCTTGTTTATTCTTTTAAGTTTAATATATCACTAAAAAAAATAGTAGATTGGTTCATAAGTCTTTGTTGATTGGATATGGAATAAATACTTTTTTTAATAAAATACTATAATTTTTCCTTAATTTTAAATTCTTCTTACAACTTCGAACTACCCTTAATTAGGTTTAAGTATTTGTTTAAAATAAGTACTGTCTTCGGAAAGAGAGCAGTTTGGTGAAAATATCAACTATGTTTGTTAAAGACTTTATATGTTTTACATAAAAGTTTCTTCGCTCTACAGAATGTTTAACGTAATATATGCAATATTAACATGACATAAACTTTTAGATGACGCACTTCCCAAAAAAATAATCTTTACAACCTTTTCTGTATAAATTTGTGCTGTAGTGGGTGCACGAGGGAGAAGTACTTTTAAAACATTTTCTATAACTATAGTTTTGGTTTTAGTTACTTAAAAGCTATATGTTCAGCTTTATAAGAAGACCTTTATAGTGCTTCTATTCAGTTTTTAGTTTTCCATCGTATTTAGTTACCGTTTAGGAAAATTATATAACCCATTGTATTACGATAAACATAATTATCGGCCCAAGGAGAGTCAGTAACATTCTACAATAAGTGTTATTAGTTGAAAAATTATTGATTATAAGTGAGATAAGTTAAGTTCTTTTAGGTTTTCATATGTTCCTCGATACTGTTTTGTAAACCCCTTCCTAAAATGGTAGTTGCATATGCTATAGCCCACCTTGTGCTAAATTCTTCAATTCTCATCCGTGTGGCTAGGAGGTTTAAGTTTTGTATATGTAGATATACGAATAAACTTTGGTTGTTGTGTTTGTATCATATTTAACTGCAAGTTGCCGATTTGTAGAACCTTAAGTATGGGAAATGGATTTTTATTAATATTAATACCTATTCCCAAAATTAAATCCTTTTAAATTAAGTCCTTCAATTCGTATTGGCGCATTTTGTTAAGAAATTTGACAGCGTCTCCCAACATATAATGCAATCAACATATATGCCAACAACATCAAAATTTTCCGAGTAAAAAATAGATTGATCCAATACACTTTGTCTATAGTCATATTTCCTTAATCTTCTAGATAAGCCCTGATATAAAATCTAGCTGATTCTTTTAAACCATAAAGCTGCGTTTATTTTTATAACACAATTGACTTCTTTAGAGTAGTGTCCACGTTGTAAAAGCTTTTCTTCTGAGTTTAGTAATTCTTTAATTAAATACATGCTATGAGGCATGTAAGTGCACACTAGATTCTTAAGTTTTGTACGCAAAAAAGCGGTTGTTAAATAATATTGAAATACCGTCTTTTATATTTTTGATTTAATATCAAAATCATTAACGGTACTAATATCTTTTGGTATTGGGTAAAGGTTTGACGTACTACCGAGGTGTGGGGTAAAATTTTTTAGTTCAATATTGACAGTTCCGGGCTGATTGTTTTGGTAAGAAAATGTGTTTTTATAAAATTTGACACCCCTCGACCGACTTATTTTTTTGGTACTGAAATTTAGGATGGTATATACATCCTCTGTTGAACCTGTTGGTTTAAAAAGTAGGATTCTCTCCGTTGCTCTATATCTTGAGATTTCGTCTTGTCCTCAAGGTTTTAAAGATAAACTTTGAAGCCTAAGAGCCTATATTTTAAGTTACTTTTAAGGCCATATAACTCGGTAGGTGGAAGAGTACTGCTGCCTTTCGAAATGTTGGTATATAATAACAGTGTCCTTGAGAGCGCATCTGGTTATATTGTATGAGGTTTGTATACAACGTTCACTTAGCGTATACTGAGGTGTATTCTTGGAACGGGGATAAAAAGGGTTCCTTCACTTTTGTCATTGACGTATTCACTACCTTTATCTGTTCTTACTTCTTCAGTTATGCATGCAGTGGAAATTGTATATTTAGTTCCTGTTTTAAATATACTTGTCGTGGCATTTTAGCCAGTCCAAATGTTGATATTTTATAGCTTCTTTGCTTTAAAAGAATAAGGCAACGACATGTTTAGACTTTGCAACAGTACCTATGACTATGTACTGAAACCAATAAAAGGAATTATGACTCAGTGTGTATTATCGACGTAGTGTAATTGATCAGGTTTACAAAGATGATGTGTTTGGCTTATTTTATCTACTTACTTTTTTTCAAAAATTAACTTTTTTGCATATTTCACATTTAACAATAGTAAAAGGTTTTACGTTAAGAATGATATTTTTTCAGATATCTATAATTTATGTGCCTATATTTGTAGTGTGCTTCAAGTATTTCGTTATCCTCTTCCGATTACAAAGTACTTAATGCCCATTATTATATGTGTTTCGGGTTAAGTTTATATATTCCGTTTTTTAAAAAGTCATTGGCAACAGGTGTCTTATTCTTTTTAATAATTTACTTTTTTATGTCCAGATTTGGTATACATCGTCTAATTTTCCCACTGTAATTAAATTACCCCTGAAATTGGGTTGTAAATTTACTTTTAACAAAAAATTTCGAGTGACCAGCTTGAGAAAAATGTATTCTCGTTTATCGTATTTATAGTTACATTTACTTCTTTTATATCATTAAGTAATCCTTGTTCATATTGATATGTGGATACACTGCGGAGTTGATAACTAAAATGTAATTTTTTTCCATTAAAATTACCTTTTTTATATAAAATGAGTTTATTACAAGTGCGTTTACTATTAAAGAAAAGGGGCCGTACTTTCTTTCATGATATTTCCCACAAGCTTAGCGTATGTGGGTGTAACAAGTGTTTTTTGGAATTTTGTTGTTTTACTTATAGGTTTGCAAATTTTTTAATTTGAAGTTAACAATGCAGTATTATAGTGGTTCTCTTGTATTTATTTTTTTTTTTCTGCTTGTAAAAGGAAATGAAGAACGTAGTTATAGTAAGAGTTCATTATTGTTACTAAAATGTTGCTCCAAGTATTTTTCATATTTAAATTCGTCCCCATTTTTATATATATGGCAATAGTATATGAATAAATATTATTTTAGATTTTTGGGGTGTTAAATCATAAATAGTACATTGCTCTTGCATTTGTTGACCAAGGGGAATTGAGTCTGTTCTCATATTGTTGCAAAGATTCGTTCTCTCTTTTCTTTATGGTACGAGGAATGAGGGCTGCATGTGCTTATATTAATGCAGCCCATGCACGCGCTGCTGCATTTTTTTTACTCTTCTCCCTACTTTCTAGGGTTGGTTTGGCTATCCTAGAATTCATAGTTATTAATTAAATTTCTACAGTGCTTTTAGTTCTTCGACTTCATGATTATATTACCTTAAAGTCTATAGCCTATCTTATTATTATATTACATAACGTATTTCTTTATATATATTTTCGAGGACTTCCAGCCTGTTAAACCAACACTTTCGTGAAAGTGGTGCACAATTCATGTATGAACAACATAAAAGTAGTTAAAGATTTTCGTTCGAAGACAATTTTCATACATTCAATTGCTTTTTCTGGGTGCAATTCATTTATCTCTTCGAATCTACTCTTAACCGCTAATTATTAACTTTATCTCAAACGCTATATTTAACAATTTTTCATGGAAAGGAAGCTTGAGTTCTCCATTTTTTTATTTTGTAAAAAAAATCTCGTAAGCCGTAGCGAGTTAGAGTAATTATAATACCTCTAATCTATTGTCGCAGTTGAGTAAGTTCTTGTAATAGTTGAAAGCCAGCAGAGTGTGGCATGGTGTGTTTAAAATTTGGATTTAGCACTAATATGAAATTAAAGAGTGCTTGCTATTAACGTAATATAATTAAGAGAAAATTAGAAAAAAAAACATAAACTATTATAAATAAGATGTGAAAGTTTAAAAAAAGATTAAGGAACAGAGATAATTAGATTAATCGATGCGGTTCTTGTTTATACTTTAAATTTTGATGTATCATTAAATAATCTAATATATATATATATTGATTGTATATTGAATAAATACTTTTTTTAATAAACTGCTTTTATTTTTCATTAATTTAAAATTCTTTTTTACTGCAGGGGGTGATCATGCAGGAAACCTCATACTGTGCTCTCCTTTCCAAAACCCCTTTGAAGCTAGTAACAGTCGTTATTAATAAATAGGTTTGGTAAAGAGCAAGTCAGTCACAATAGTAAAGAAATTGGGTCCAGCTGACTGCAATTTTTTAACTCAGTTGCCTTTGTTCTTAGGGTCTGCTTGAGTCCTGCTTTTTTTGATGGTGAGCCCAAGACAATTACTGAAAACTTGTTTGCCCCTCTGTGTTGGTGTCATTGTACAATCCTTATTAACTGATTTCATTTGTCACTAACACATAGTAAACATATAAAATTAAAGTAGTTTAATTTAGCTTAGCTTTAACGTGGCAAGTGAGCATTCTAATAATTTGACAAGCTTAAGTTGTTGATGTATAAAAGAGAGTAGCTCTTAAACACATTACGATAAATATCTTAAGGTGTAAACACAACACAATGTCCGTCGTTAGGTCTCTATCCCCGACGTGCACAGTTCTTGGTTTAAAGTGTAGCATTTCCGTATTAAGGAATTTACTAGAGCAAGTCTCCAATCAATTAGCTTGACAGAGCATTAGACTTCGCTCTCGTGATCTCGTGAGAGTGCTGTTCTAAGTATTCGCAAAACATTTGCATAATTTCCTGCCATCTTTGTGATTTCTTTCGGGTTATTTGCTCATCATGAAAATCACACTTCAGGCTTGGCTAACCCTATCCAATATACATACGGTACAGCAATACGCGCGGGCCATATAGTGGTATTTCCAATAGACGACACCTGGGTAATAAACTGAAGCCATTGGTTTCTGTCCTATGAATGCATACACTTTACTGTTAAATATACTTGCTCTTGTTAATAGTTAAATATTTCTCCAATTGACGTATTACATGCAGTGAGGAGTAAGCCGCACTCTTACATTTTGGCAAGTTGTGCATATTATATTTAAATTCGTGGTTCTTGCTTAAACCTACACGGCCGCTTATAAGGTGGTTGTGTACTATTTTTCGCCTTTTAAAACCTACAAGGTTTTAAGCTTTAAATTAGTTCCATTAGAGGAAAGTCTTAAAACTTGTGGCTCTGGTTGCTTGATATACACTCTATGAAGAAACTAATTCTCCTGTGCAACGTATATCAGGCGGAACCGAGTAGGATACGCAGTCCATGGACCAGTATTACAAAAATTGCAGGTAAAATTTAATTTTTTTTAAATTGTTCATGAAATCATTAAAAAGCATGCATAACGTTATTTGAATTATAAATAATTAAAAGCAATGGTAAGACAGCGTCAATCAATTGATATTCTATTTATCATCTACTTTTCCCATAAACTAACTATTCCAAGTACCTCTCTAGTAGAAAATAGCCCTTTCCCTCAAATAAAATAAAACATAAATTTTGTAAATTTTAGTTGTGACTACTAATAGTGTGAGCGATATTACTATAATGGTAATGTTTCTCAACACTTTTTTTGCACATTCAAATTGTATTTGTATAGTAGTGCAGCATTTAACATTATAAAAAAAACTGATTATTCTCCAAGAAAGTCGGATTAAAGCTAGTTACTGCTATTAATGCCGAGCAAAAAAAACGTGTCGCCTGATGGTTTATGAAGAATTGCGCTTCTTTAAACGTGGTTGTACAGTTTTATGGTCTGCAGGAAGGCCGAAAGCGAGGGGGATGCACCGAGTGAAAAGATAATCAGTAACTTCTGCAGGAATTGTTATGTCGTTGCGGAGTAAAGCTTCAATAAAAGCAAAAGCGGCCGAAAGATCGTTTCCAGCTAAAAAATAATTAAAAAATTTCAAGATGAATTCCGGTCCGAAGTAATATCCTAATAAAAAAAAGATGATGCCACCACTAACAAGTAGATGGTTTCAAAAAGATGCTTAGTAGTTAATACCTTGGCGGCGAATTTTTTTAATAAGCAAGTCTAATGCCCATCGATTGCCATTTTTAGATTCCATTTTTAAAAAAAGAAGCAGAAAATATAAATTAGTGTATCTTCCGGTGGCCAAAAGTTTATCATAATAATTTGTCGCTGGAGATTAAAGGTAGAAAGGGATTTAAAATAAGGTTAATTAGTAAAAAAAAAATTAGGAAAAAACCTAAAGAAGAGAACCCCGTCGCCGCGGCGTAGTGCACCAGAGCATCGTAGAAGATTGCATTCAAGCGGTAGCCAGCAAGCTCAATTCCTTTTATTAAAAACTCAGAGCGCGAGATGTCGGGCTGATGGACAATTTCTACGAAATATTTAAGAGAAAATCTGCAACTTTAAAAAAAAAACAGACTTTTTATAAAAATTTTTCTGATGGTGCTGTCAAACTTGACCTTCTGCGCTTTCATTTCTTTTAGCAAGGATAAAGCAGAATCAAAGTCATCTAAATGTAAAAAAAGATTGTGTAAGATGTTCCCCGAAAGATCGGGTTTTCAAACTTTTTTCCAAGTAATACGTAAGAAGCGACGTGTACGAGAGAGTCGTAATAGCTAAACCTGATGCTTTCATTTCCTCTAAGTAAGCTCGAGCTGAATCGAAAGAGTCAATGTTTTTAAATTAAGTAGTATATAAATAAGTCCACCTTCATTGATGTTATCGCGTTGTACCATAAATTTAATTAGCGCACTGTACGTAAACTCATCGCAAGATCCCAAGTCTTTCAACTTTTTAAAGTAATCCATTGCTTGCAAATAAAAAGTATAAGTACTTAGTTGTGCGTGAAAATTGGTTTTTTACCCTTTTCAAGATCACCAACTCCTAAATAATACTGCAGAAACAAATTATCAACAATGGGAGGGGTAGCCGCAAGGTTGACGACTAGCTCGGCAGTGATGCACTCCGCTTTGGCTAGTTCCCCTTTCTGCAAATAACCTACGGCTCGTATAAGTTTCATTAAAAGAACAAGAACAGGAGGCACAAACCATTAATCATAATCGAGTACGTTATAGTATTTAGTTTAACGCTTTGTTTCATTTCGTCATAACAGTGCGCAGCTGAAAATGTGAAGATTTTCAAATTTTATTATAAAGTGAGTATAACTACCAACCATGGTCTAACTTATCCTTTTTAAAACATCCTTGAAGGAAAGAGTTATATACGATGGGTTCCTTTGTAGAGGTCGCAATGGCTTTGTATTGCTTAAATAATGCCAGACACCCCTCAAACTCTCGATAAGTAAAGGATTCTATAATTAAAGTCAACGGCCATTGAGAAATTCCTAAGATGAACACCGAAGTTGCAAAGACAACCTTTGACGACAATGGCCCACGTAGCGTTGTTAGCTAATTTATCAGAAAGCATTTGGTAAAACAACTTGAACGCTTGTTTAGCATTGCCGTTACTAAAAAGGCTTGACAATAAATGGTTATACTGAACAGTTTTATTAGGCAGCACACTACCTATTGGAAAAAAGTGACTAGAAATATTGTAACTCACGAAGTATATAGGTAGGGAAGAGTAAAGAAAGAAAGGCAAAAAAGTTGTAATAGGGCTTTGAAAAAGTCAAATTCAAAAACTTTAAAAACAATAAAAGTTTTATGTGAAACAGGAAATCAACTTATGGCCCGGACAGTTAGAGTACAATTTGAAGATAAATAATACTATTCTACTTATTTAAAACTGTGAATAGTCTGTAAACTTTTTCTATACTATAGCTTCAATACTATAGTATCTTTTTAGCTCGCTCATAGCCCACCATATATTTCCTAAAACACAACGCCCACCTTCAATCCACAGAAAAATACGTCCCTTTAACATTTACGAATTACAAGCTCTTGCACGTAAACTAAGGCTAACATAAAGTCAAAAGAATGTAGTTAATACAAATATACAACGATAAAGTACTGCTCTTTAGAGAAAACAGTTTCATCATTTGATTGGCATCTTGCAATTTTTTCAGTGTATAGAGACTAGGAATTATGTCATAGAACAAGCTGGTTGGTATTTTTTCATGCGTTATTAAGTTCTTCGAATAGTGTTCTTAATTATTATACATTTAACATTATCACTCTCTTACAATATATTGAGAGTCTTTAGAAATAAAAAATAAAAGACCTTTAAACCGCTTCACTTTTTCTTTAGCTCGACTAATAAAATCTCTTTTATAAGCCAAATCCAACTGGGATATGGCGGAAGAAAAATATTTCAAACGACTAGAGTTAGCTCCAAGAGTTGTAAAAACTAACTTAGTCGACGAAAGTGTGCAAAGCATCTTCAAAGCCCTTTAAAGTCTTTGACACCAAAAAGTTTAGAACAACATGGTTTTCTTCGGCCAAACTTGGACGGACAATCTTTCGCAGTAACGCTAAGCCTTCAACCACAGTTACAGTAGGTAAAAGCATCGCGGGGTTTATACCATCGTCATTTTTTGTTTAATTTTTTTAAAATTTGAAAAGTTTCTTTTCGTGTTTAAGTTAACGAATTATTGTTCTTTTTAGGTTGCTATATTATTCGATCAAAAAATCCAGATTATGTAGACCACACCTACATCGGCTACACGGTTAACCCTTTTAAAAGGATTAGACAGCACAACGGCCTTATAAAGAACGGCGCTAGGAAAACTCTTAAAAGAGCTCTTAGTCCAGAGCTTTCCTTCATTCTAAACGTTGTAAACTACTAGTTTTGACACAGACTTATTGGAAGAAGAAATTAATTTTAGTTATTAGTGGATTTCCTGATGTAAAAAGTGCTTTAAGGGTATTCCATTTATACCATAAGGTTTCGAAGATGGTAGTATTACAATACCTTTCTATCTAAGTTGATTGGGCTTGGTAGATTCAACGTTATCGAAATATCTTTAAGAATTTGTAGAGATTTTTTCTTTGAAAAAAACTAAAGAGTTCCCTTAAAAAAAATAATATAAATTTTTAAAAAGCCATTAATAGACTTAGGAGAAAAAACAGTATCGAGTAATCTCTTCTGTAGCAGGCTTACTATAATGTCAACGATGCTGAATGTTTTGCCTTGGAGTAGGCTCCCCTTAAGCATACAAGTAACTTTATAACATAATAGTTTCAGTTATGAGCTTGCTTCATAACTCGCAGTGGCAGGAGGAAGAAACCAAAATTTTATTCTCAAATCTTATTAAAATTCCTAAACATATGGAATTCTCCATCGAACTTTTCGGAGAAGTTCGTAGCTATCTTTTTTACAATCTACCTTTTCTTTTCTTTAGTCCTTTTGCTTTAAGATACAGTTGCGGCCCTCTCTGCCAAGAGGTGTCGTTCCTCAAATAAATGTACTTTGTGCCTGCAAGATATAAAAAAGGTAGCTAAACAACCGATGCTAATTAAAGCTGGCTATTCAATGATAAATAAAGAAGGTAACAACCTGCGCTACAAGTACTAGTAAGAACTGTGATATGTAGGGCATCTTCAGTGTCTAGCAAAGTAACGACTCGTTCTTGTTTTAATAGTAATAATTAAAACGGTTAACGTATAACATAGATGGTTTCTGGTAGAAGAGCCTTTGTACTTTATTCCGCTGGAAGAGTTATGCCCACTGCACACCACAAGAATAACCTGGTAAGATATAATTGGCGTGTGCCGGCAAATACGGAGTACTACTGAAGAATGTAATGTTTTTGAACACAAAGTAAATATCTTCGGTCTCTTTCCTAAAAGGCTCTCACTGAGTTATTCTGCCTCCAGTTTACTAGTACACAATTAGAAGAGAAACAAAGAGACTCTAACCGAACATGACAAGTGCGAGATGTTTACTTTATTTAAAAAAATAAATATTCGCTGACAATGCACGTCTTTATTAATCAATACAATATACTAATATTTTACTAAAGTGCCGATAAGGATTTAAATTTTGTTATAAACGAGGCCCCCCACTCTGGCTCTGCACTGCCGTGCTTGTGTTACCACTGGCTAAAATCAGAAAGCTTCGAACCACTTAGCTTCAACTTTTTGGGGGGGGCAGTGTCAGTTGAGGCCTTACTGGTTGTCCTAAACAAGTATAAACTAATGGGCGGCTCCTGCTGAGCGCGTGTATATACCGGTGGAATGCGGGAGGGGCGAGATGCTCAATATACATTCCCACGCCCTTTCGATACTGCTTTGTTATGCCTTCAGAGGGGCCCTCGACGGATTTAGGAGGTGCAACCTTCGCAAGCTGTAAGGCATATAAACTTTATATATAAAACTTTTCAGTCCACTTGTTACGAATTAACTTTTGCTTCTTTCTTTTTTTTCTTTTCTTCATCGTATTCAGAAAACGGATCCACAAACACCTGCGTCTGCTGTATTAAGATATCCTCCTAATGAAAATGTGATCAGCACTTAAACAAAGGAATTGCATAATATAAACGTACGAGAGGCCTGTCCTCTTGGTCCGTTTCCGAATTCTCCATCCTGCTTAGCACCTCTAACCAAAAGCAATTGTTTATTCGAAAAACTTCCAATTGAGTAAAGCGCAGTACCCAATCCGCCCACTACAGCGCCAAATATAGTGTGTTTCTTATCTAAATGTTTACAAGGTCTGAACGTGATGAAGCTATAGAAGCAAGCAGTGTTAAAAAAAAAGGCGAAATGCGAGTGGCAACGGTACAATTGCGACGTGTTCGTGTTAGGCCCGCTATTGGCCATGCTCAGCAGTCCTAATTTAGAAACGCCATACACACAAATGCAGCAATTAAAGGTTGCAAGCTTGGAGAACCGCGCCGGTCGTGGGAAAGCTCCAGCTTCCACTCATCTTCAAAGGGCTTGCCCTTAAAAAAGAAATTAAGTTTTTATAACAATCTGCGGCACATAAGTAGCAGCGACACCCAGGCAGACTCGCCACCAGAGCCGGTCCCCGTCGGATCGCCTCCCTGGATCTATAATATAGGAAAGTGTAGTAATTATACGGATGCCAAAAGGATATACGAAACGTACCATGAAATACCGGATGAGTCTATGAAATTTAGTTCCGGAGTAGTACTTGCGATGGCAAAGAAGAAGAAAATTTTCGCAGGCCTGAAGAAAATTTCTAAAGCGATCTTTTTTCTAGCGAAGTTTTCTGGAAATACTTTTGGAGTTAAGTGACAGAAGAGTTCGATATTAAGATTGCCGAAGTTAGTGACGAGGCTTGCATATCCCTTTTTAGTAATTTTGCTGTGACGAACAAATTCAGGATCCAGCTTGGCACCGCGAAGTGCTATAAAAGAGTGTCAACCGTGAAAGAGATGATTTCTGCCAGACACACCGGTCACGCAGCTGGCGACCGTGCTGGTCAGTGAGGCGGCCATTCTGTTATCGCTCCAAATTGTGGAAGTGTGCAGCTCTTCCTCGTCACTGCTCATAACTTCATCCTTACCGTCTTTGGTTTTTCTCTGTTGCTCCTTTCCTTGTATTTTCTTTCACAAATATATAAAAAAACTTAGATTTTTAAATTCCTTAATAAATGCGAAAGGGAATTGAGGCTGAGTTATCAAATTAATAAGGATTCTCGGCTGTACGAGGACTTACGGCCTTATGGTGTTCCGCCAGAGTATTTTTAAATTCCGGATTAACCATCCCTATTCTGTACAAAGGGTCGTTTCGAAGTCTATTTTCTTCCTATATTTTAGCTATAAGTTAACTTTTTATTAAAAATGATAGTTGAATTTATAATAATTACCTCGCTTATCACCTTAAGGCGGTTTTTAAAATGGTGAAATTCTATAATTAAGCAAACTGAGTAAACAGCGCCGTCACAAAAACTTTTACAATGTAAGAGGGAAAAAAGTTTAAAAGATAACCAGAGTAGTTGTGCTTTTCAATATTATTAGGATCCTGGAGTATGATAATATCAGAACGTTTAAAAGGCACGTCAGTTAGTAAATCTTTATAATTCTTAAATCTAGAAAAAGAATGTATAAAGATGAACTTAGCTCAGCAAAAAAAGATTAATAAAATAGTGTAAAACTTTGTAAATTCTATAAATTTACAATAAAAAAGGAATTACTTGAAATTGAGCTTCTCGATTGTTTCATAAAGATAAACATTTCCAGTAGTAGACACACACACAACTTTGGAATTATGAGAAAAAGATTTTTTAGTAACGGGGCATATAAAAGTGTCTAGTTTAGAAAAATTAAAGGAAAGTAAAAGGGTAAGCATAAAGAAAAAAAAACCCTTTACCACTACTTTCATCTCGGCAAAAGTTTAATTTTATTAACTCTTTCGCGGTCATTGGCCCACCAGTACAAGGATTAGTCTTGTACTTTTTTATATAAGGAACAATGTTCCTTAAAATAAGATTAAGTATAAATAACCATAAAGTAAAAGTGGAACGTACATCAGATCATAAATCATCCCGTTTTGGTCGCAGTAGGGTTCTCGAAAAGGAAGAAAAGAAATGCTTTAAAATTATGAAATATTAATTATGTAAAAAGGTACGAGTTAAAAAAATAATATATAGACAGCAACAATGGAGGCTAATGTAACTCTTTACCAAAATAAATACAAAATAAAAAAGTGTACCAGCAACAGTTGAGAGGTAGTCGACTATACGAAACACCACTGCTACGTTTTTTACCTCCCCAATAATCTCGCCATTCTGAATGGGAGATGTAACTAAAAGATAGATATTATAAGAAACAAATAAAGCTACAAAATTTATGGAAAAGAGCAAAAGTAGAAGCAAACATTTTATCGCTTTGATGCTGTTTTTTGCCCATTTCTTACAACATAGTACGCTCTAAAACCCATCGGCTAGCCTGGCGCTTCGTTAACTGCTAAAAAAAGCCTACGCCGTTTTTTGAGTACACTTAAAAGGTAAAAGTTATAACAGATGAGTGTATACTGTTAATGCTAAAACCGTCAAGGATCATGTGACGACCAGAAAACTATATGAACAGTTCATCATTTACATATTTTTTAGTTTAGGCCCAATAGTAAGTTTACAATTTTCGAGGTTTTACAGTAACTTATTTTATTTTATTTATGGCTCTGGCTTGCTACAGGCGTGATTTATAGTCAGTTGCTGCTTAATCTAACTTTCCCTCTATTAATTGAGAGAGCGACAAACCACAACTTCCCTAACGATTCATTGCACCATCAACAAGAAGTATGAATGCGCTTTGTCATAACATCTGAGGTTTACAGTAACTTAAAATGATGTAAATCTTAAGTCTAAGTTTCGCAGTTCAACCATATGTTACAAACCCTATTTTTACTTAACTTCATGATCCATGTCAAAATTATATACTAAAGTAAGCCTTTTACTCTGCCACTTAGAATTATAAGACTGATAATTTTTATAACAGTGTAAACAAAAAAAATTGACCATGAATATATCATTCCTTCTATGTACAGACCGTTTTAAATCTGAACTAATATTTAAAAAATTAAATAAGTATACTAAATTATTAGATTCCTAATTTGGCAAAGGATTAAGAGATAAGTTGTAAAAAGATAATAATTATACTACACTATAATAATATATATTTTGTATCGCATGAGTACTATTATTTTTTTTTTTTGCAGAGTAACAAGTCGTACCTTCTTATTAAGTGCCCATTTAGATATTGTTCAGCTATAACTTACAAGTATGAAACTACATATAGCTTAGATGATAATTTGCCATCTCTAGAGCTATGAAATAGTCTTTGGCGAAGCATGCTTAGACATGAAATACGCTAAATAAATTTACTCTAGTTTGTTAGTAGTACATGCTCTAGTTAGGCAAAGTTACATTACTTATATTTGAAAGGTCTAATTACTATATAACATAAAAATTGGTATAACTAATAAATGTAAAAGTTATATAATAATTGCGAACCTAAAAACTACTTAATATTAATTATATTTTTGTATAAATTAATTCACTGGACAGGGAACCACAACAACAAAAAAAAAACTACTACTTCTTTGATTAAACTTACTTTATTAAGGGCAACCATCCCATTTTGTTACAGTTTCCAAGGCAACCTTTTGCTACCCGGCAATTTTAAAATTATATAAACATCCTTGAAGCTTCGTTAGGAGAAGGATCCCCACGTTCGGGGACTCACGTTATTTGGCCAAATTATTCCGTGAAAGAGTCATCCCAACTATAGTCCCAACTATAGTAGATAACAAATTTAACTGGGGAGCTTATGTGGGTTTTGGGTAAAAGAAAGCTTACGATTCTAAAATAACTCAAGTGGGTTATCACTACGTAACAAACATTTCATCTACATGGCGTGTATACGACCGATATTGCTGTATGCGTTAATACCCAAGATTATTCTTTGGCGGAAAACATTGGAAAAGTACAATTATTAAAAAAAAGGTGATTGCGAATGATTATTAATGCTCCTTGGTTTTAGAGCGGAAGTCAGCTACATAGGGGCTCTCAACTAGAACCTATAGACACACCTATAATAAGCCGCGGACAACAATTTTTGAATGCATACGGTCAACACACCATTAAATTGCTGGTTGAAACACAATAGTATGATTCCCAATTGGTATACTAAATCCAAACGGCTGAAACATGTACTAATAAAAGCTTAATATATCTAAGAAGACAAGTCGGGATAGATTGAACGGACTGCCCTACCGGTTATAAGGATGTCTCCACGACTTTTTCCCCTTTCATCTTCCTTGGGAGTTAAAAAACCACCTACTTTTAGTGCGGAGGGGAGGTAGTTAAACAGTAAGGGTTATAAGTAAATAAAATAAATATTTTGTTGTAGTATACGGAGTGCTATGTTTACCCTCGCACATGGTATAAATCAAAGTGATTTTCATAACTTTTCACCACTGTTAGCCACGTGCGTCTATTAATTAGTATGCCCCTGAATATAAATATGGATAGCACACTCCCGCAGGAGGGAATTTAATATTTCCGCCCTTTGTTCCTATGTGCGGTTTCTTGTGGTATAGAGGGGCCTAATTACTGTTTTATACGTAATTTGTCTAATAAATCATTTACCATATTTATTCCTATCTAGGGTGTACATATCTAAACTTTTATAGCCATTTCCAATGATAGTGCCATTCTATGAATAACACCACACCAAAAAGTAAACGCCCGCCGTAAAAGGAGGATATTGTTAAAATATCAAATCCTAACAGTGATTAATAAGAATAAGAAGTGAGATAATCTCATCCGCTTATTTTACCAAACCAAAATCAAGGTGGCCCTTTTCCTTAGGAAAAGTTTATATATTTTTATAATTTTAGTGCGCAGGCTGCTATTTGGTGTTCAGTGCTGTTTAAATTAATCCATTTCTCATAAACAAAAGTAATGGATCCAAGGGGCCTGAGAGTGTTTAGTCCGTATCTTTAGTCCATGTGATTTATTTTTATGATAGAAGTCACTTTAGATATTATTCTAATATTTTTATTTATAGTTACTAAAATTATTACTGTGAATATTATTTTTTTGTTATTATAATTATTGTTTTTAGGATGATTCTTTACAATTGATATTATCCTTATTATTAGGATTTTAGGTTTCCGTGGAAATATTTTCAAGTCTTTTAGGTTTGCTATAGTTGTTAAGATCGCAAGCTGCAGGATGTAGGTTGTAATCTGAATACCATTTTGACAAGTTAAATTTTACAATACCGGTGTAAGTTGCAGTTGCCATGAATCATGAGACTCTAGTCAGAGCTATTTTTGTGTTGATTATATGATCCAAATACAGTGCGCAGTTAAAAAAAAAAAGGGTAGATCCGCACGCCTGAGGGTACGCTCTTTGCATTTATATTAATTTTAAATAGTAGCTTTAATCTATCAAGATTATTTTAAAACTGAATATAAATAATCATTTTATTTCATTAAAAGAAGATTTGACCTTTGGTTTGTGGTATCTTTTCAGACTATAGGACTGTAAAGAAGTTTTAGCTTTATTATATAAAGATCAAGTTTAATATATTGTTTCGCTCTATAGGCCGAACAAAGCGTTGTTCGTCTACAGAATAGTTTATTGGGAACTTAACTTCTTAAGGGCGTGTGACTAAAAGGAGACTAAAAGCTTAAAAGGAAAATTAACAATTTGAAAGAGCGTCCAATTGGTAAGACTTGGCTATTTGCCCCTATGGTTCCTTATAATAACTTGGTGGTACTTTTTTTTAAAGCCAAGTTCTATTTTAGGCCCTATCGTGAGAAGCACGAATCAAAATTTCTTAGCTTACTTGTTTTTAAAATAGCTAGTGGGTACTGGCCTCATCTTATTTTTAGGTAAGCTAAAAGATATTTAAGGAAACTATGGTTTTTGAGTCTTCACATTGGTGAAGTTAGTATGAACCAATAGGCAAAAAATAAAGCAGAGTGCTTAGTATAAACAATTTGTGCTCTATTTAGTTGTTTATCTAATTATTAAGAATAGCACTTTTATAAAATTATTTTTTAAAAGACCTTTGCATGCTTATTCTATCTTCCCTTTACGTTGAAAAGGTGGATTATTATAAAATTTACTAAAGAAATACAATAGGTTTGTCACAGAACATCTTTAGGATTGTTAAGCTAGTTTATTTGTAGTATGCATCTTTTAATTTTATAATATGTATATTAGAAGTGAGCAATTTTTTTAACGCTATTTGGTAAAGTAGAGTAGTATTTCAAAGGTTTAGACAATAATTTGTTGTAACGCACACTGTATGCTTTAGAATCGCGTACTTGAGGGATATATGCACGTATAAGTTAGGTTTCACTTGCCAACTCTTAAAGTTGAGCGTTATTTAAAAAACAATAGGGCTATGATAGTTCTTCGCAATCACTATTTTGTAGAAATTTAAGTTCTTTTGTGATAAACTAGCCCCGGCAGCGGACGCCCACACTTGTTGACTAGCTTGCTTGTTTTGCATGATATGTTAAAAATAATCTCCTTTTACAGCATAAAGGCGCTTGCCAAAAGCAGCGGACTAAGCGGACTATAGAGCCACATCCTGTAATTTAAAATTTAATTTTCGTTAATATTCTACCGATTCCAATGGTCTAATAAGTGATAAAAAAATTTTAGTTGCTAAATTTTTCCGAAATATATTTTTTATTAATATCTTTTAGTAATTAATTAGTTAAGCATAAAAAAAGGTCTCCGACTCGTTACTCACTTACCAGGATGCACTTTTTGTTACAGTTGAAATTGAAATTAAATGTCGCAAGTTTCCAGTAGTCTAAAAAAGAAGAGCGCAATGAGTGCTATTAAATTGTACCTAAGAGGGCATGGGTGTTAGATGCTTAAAAGTTAAATTGATAATGCCCTCAGGGCACTTTAACCTTTAAGGTAAACAACTTAGGAGCAGTTCAATGGTTTTCCCTCATCGGCAACCTTACGGAACATGTTAACGATGCTCTTAGTCATGCTCATCCAAGTTTCTCAAAGCGAAACAAAAAGGGTGCTTGGGTAAAGTATGCTACTCTACCCTCCTGAGCGTTAAAAATTTGTTTTTTTGCTTTAAAGGGCACAATGTCAATTTTACATGTGGGGAATGACTTCAGGTGTCGTGGTTTTCTAATGAGTTATAAAATATAGTTTAATAGCTTTAATCGATGTCTATTAAGGGCTACTTTAATTGGAGGGTAATAAAGCTAACATAATATCTTTTTTCTAACAAATTTTTTTTTTAATGTTAAGATTTAATCTTAACGGAAATTTTACTACTAAACACTGGGGGCCATATTATTCGGGGTAAATGCGAGGGAAGTTGAATAGCTCCCTTAAATTTATGAATAGTCGAGCTCACTTAATTACTCGGGAATAAAAAAAAAAGCTATAGGTCACTCAGTTGATATCCAAGCATTTATTAAATAGCTCCAAGCTGATTATTATTATTAAATTGGATTTGTTATAGGCATTAGGCTCGGAGAAAGTTTATTAAAAAAAAGTAATAGCCCGATCCTGTCTGATTCACACTTTTGGGATTAGGTTATTTGCATTGTTAATCTTAACCAAGAGCTTTTTTATATAATTTTAAAGTCGGGAAAGGGGGGAGGGAATACCTCTCCTAGTTAGTATATTCACTCCCTAACCGTTATCCTTACGACATAAGATAATCAAGGGTTAGGTTAACCAAGTTTCTGAGAGGTTTGACTTCTCAAATCAAACAGGAAAACCAACTGTTTGAAAAAATTACTTTTTTTCCCCTTCATTTATCTTTATTTTTCTTTTTTATCGTATATATTCGCCTCTTGGTTTTTATAGTTAAATTAATTATAGACCCTTCATATAACAGCCACGTTTTCGTAAGGGAAATAATAACCGAAAAAGTAATTAGATGCAGAGCAAACTGAATAGAAAGTTTTTAGCTAACGACAGCAGCATTTTGCAAACTAAGTTCACATCTAAAACCTAATTTTATTATAACATTTATAATAAATATTTTTCATTTTTCTTAAACGAATTCTGCAGACTAAACCCCTACATTATAATAGCTAATAAAGTAATTTGTGTGAATAATAGAAAATGCTGACGACAAAACGATCTAAGCCTCGTTGAAAAGCCCTAATCTGATTCGCCAGCCCCTACAATATACTTAGACACAGGTGTCGGCAATGAGACGTGATAATTTTAACGCTGTAAAGGATAAGGGGCTTAATTTTAAAAAAGTACCTCTTTCCTTTTTCGAAGGCGCAGGGATACTCATGATAGACTCAGCTGGGCTACTGAGGATTGGGAATACTTTTCGCGCTGGAGGTCAGATCGGTAACTCAATGCTTCATCCATAAGCGTATGATGCCCTTGAGCAAATAAGCAGCACTCAACATAGCCTCCAGGCTCTCCTGCGTGGGTATTCATGCACTATTTACAGAAGCGCAAGTATGGCACACTGTACACCGAGGGTACATAAAATATAATTATAAAATAATTAACCCCAAATAATCAGTCTTCGTCTGGGAATTACTAATTTTTATAAAGTTATTAATATAAATAAGTGTATTTAAAACAAATAAAAATTTTATAACCTAGCCAGAAATTCATGGGGATTAATTTATTGCAACTTTTTTGATTTTCCATAACTTCAAATTAGCTTTTTTTTTATTGACTATTTAACTAATATACACTATTTTCTCTTTTTCAAATTAATCTTAGCTTTTCAGTTTAGCAACTCAAAAAACTATTTAATTAAAAGTCCAAACTTATCATTCTAGGGGCGATGACGTTTGAAAGTTTGAGAATGAATAAAATTAATTTTCACCGGACATATAGATATGCCTCACCTTTGTAACCTTTTTAACTTTTTAACGAGCCCAGAGTCCTCCTTACGTCGCTTTTGCCTTTATAAATTAACAGTAAAATTAGTATATAACTTCCTTAATAATATTTAGCAATCCGACATTAAGCTTTCGTTTCGCTTTCACGGTTATTATTTTGCCACTTATTTTTATTTTTTGTGCTAAAATTTTTATTAAAATTTGTAAAATTCATCTATCCTGCTTCACGTCCCAGTTCCGCGCTGCTTCCCTCCATGTACAAAATTTACAGAACACAAATACTTTTTGGTCATTTATGGAATTTTTTTTTGCTGTAAGTGCGTTATAGTTTTGTTGGCTTTAGATCTCGATGCATTTAGTCCCAAATGTTAAATTAAAATGCTTAAAAAAAAACTTGAGAATCAGCCGGATAAAAATTGGTGCATCGCTTTTACATACGGAGAAATTAACCTCGGTGGACCTCCGTTCTTAGGGGATAAGGTATTTAAATAAGAACCGGGCCGCAATCGTGGTTTAGAAGTTTTAGCATATAGCTCAACTAGTCAATTTATACCTAGAAAAAAGGTTTTATTTATTTCGGGTAAACAATTTTGCCTTAAAGATGTCACGCGTAAGTAACTTAATTAAATGTTGAATTTATATTGAGTGTTAACATTACTTTCGTTAAATTAATAACTTAGGCAAGAAAAAGATATATAGCAAATTTTTTTTAAAAAAATTGTAAAACTGAGCAGAAAGAGCCGGATACTATCTAGTTGCCATTATATATAAAAACGGTTAAGATAATTACTTATTCGGTTTATAAGCTTTGTAAGTGGGTGATAAATTTACTTATATAACAACGCTTTTAACTAAGGATATTATTGGTAATGTAATCGATCTCCCTCCGCGAAGGCTGATGTTTAAGAAGTTGAGGGTCTGCCGGCGTATTCGCAGGGTTCTCATTTGAACTGGGGATGTCTACGACAGAGGTTTTAATCCCGGACTATAGGTCGTTAATATTGTATATATTTGTATGAAATGGCCACTGTTATGTTAATGATAAAGCATAATATGGGCATACTGAGTATTTATCTTAGATAGATGAATTTATTTGGTACTTATAACTAAATGGATCTCTTCTCAACAGCTGTTTGCGTTATTTAGCATAACTTTCGAGTTAAAGAACTATCACACTTCTGATACTTTCATTTGAAAGTACGCTTTTTTTTTTAGCTAGAATTTTTTATATAGCTCTTTAGGCTCAACTCAGTCTACCGACTTGGAAGACTCGCAGTTAAAAAAAAGAATTTGGGTTGAGATTAATTTTTTCCTGTATAACGACTTTTAAGACCTATTTACACTTCATTTTTAATAGAACGGAAAGATTGCCCTTCAGTTTGACCTTGATGAAAATGAAGTTACTACCTCAGAACTCCCACAACCTTTTTTTGTTGGTCTTTATTTTAGCTCTCATTTATTTATAAGCTTCCCTTTTTTTTTTTTAAAACTCTATAGATTTTGGCCCCCCGGGGCACATATATACGTCTTATAACTGAAAACGTTAGGCGTTACTTTCAAGACTTCTCTCAAGATTTAACGGACATTTCAGACGAAATGTGGTTTTCCTACAAAAATAAGCCATTAAAATGGCATTACCCCATAGGTTATACCCTTTTACCTTGTCGCAATTAGCTTTTTTTAGTTCTTTTTATATCACCGAGGTGTGCTCTACGACTTAAACGCAACTGGAGACCCTCTTCCTTGGAAGATAACTGTTCACTTTTCTTTCTTTCCTGAAGACGAAGTGCTCTCTTGCAAGGTTGAACAGTTAGAAAAAGTCATAGAGAGTTATTATATATCCATGATCAAAGAGGTACGAGAAGAAGCGGTTTTGCGAAAGCGCATAAGTTAATATTTATATCTGTAATAAATAGAGCGACTCAATAAGATTTGGAACTTCAAATAAGTCACAAGCTTTAGAAAAAAAGAGTTTTCAAATTTTGTGGAGTAGTTTTAGAAAACGTATTTACCTTTTTAGCCTTTTATATTTGATTAATACTTTATAAAGGCAAGATAAGTTCTAGCTGAGCAGTATATGAGGTGCAGCTTGAGAATTTCATTTCTGTACTCCCCTTTGGCTTAGCATTCTTCTTTTTGTACTCATTGCTAAATTCTTTGGACTTAGAGTACACAGAAAACTCGTTTTCGCATTTTCAGTCCGTAAACGAGAAGTTGGTGGCTTTAGCGGATAACGAATACATGAAAAACCTCCCCTTTAGGTCGGTATTAAAAAAAAGCCTACCCGTTACTTTTACTTAATAGCGCTTGTGACTAGATTATATGAAAGGGGAACTAACGTATGCATGCAGCCTTTCTCGCCTTACCGCACTGAAAGTATAAATATTTTTTTAAAGCCTTCCCTGTCATTACTGATATGTTTTCTTCGTTCTCTCGTTTGAAGAGGACAGTAAAACGCTTCTTGAGTTTCTTCTTGAGATCCGCCCGGACATCATTAAAAATAACAACCTAATTCCTGGGTACAGGGTAACTTTTTTTTCATTTATCCTTTGCAGATCGCATGCCGCTAAAGTACTTTTGTTAAGGTCCTAATCCAAGGAGTGGAACCCCCCTTGGACACGCCAATGCTCTGGCTCAGCGACGTTTGCACTCATCCTGATAATTTTCTTCATATTGTAATCGACCATAAAAATAATTTTTGAGTCTCATTTAATTTTCAGTATTGTATACAATTATAACTTAAGGCCGAAAAGACTTGACGTACTTCTTTATTTTGCGGCTGCGGTGAAAGGCTTTGCTAAGTTATTGGGTGGTTGTACCATAGAAAGGCTTAAGGACTAAAAACTAGCATAAAATTCAGCCGGCAGACAACCAAAATTAAAAAATTATCTTTAATGTAGGTGAAAATAAGGTGTAAAAGCTACGCTGAAGCTGACTTATCCGAAACCATTAGCTTTTTGATTTCTGCAATTGCCTTCCCTGGATTGAGCCCCTACGATTAGGTGGAGAAAAGTTATAAAGGCTACCGAACAAAAAAAGTATTTATACTGTGGCCAACCTTAGGACAAGTTTTGGCGCAATTCATTATAGTATGACACCTATATAAGGAAAAGGTGTCCTCCAGCTTCTTCAGGCGCTCCTTTTGTTTCTCGTCCTGTAAAAGGAAATTAATAAGACATTTATAAAAATTAAATTGAAAGGAGCCCACTCTGCTGTCGATAATCCAGCGGTAGGCTTGCAGCAGAGTGGCCGGGCCGAGATACTTATCCGGATTCCACCAATAGCTGGGACAGGACGTGCTGCAGCAAGCACAAAGAATGCACTCATATAATCCATCCTATTAGAGGAAAAGTAAAAAGCGAAATAGTAAAGGAGAAAAATTGCGTTCAACTAGTTTTTTCCGATTCTCGACGCTTTGTGGTGTCTCGGTTTTCTGAAGCGGAGCAGACTTTTGCAAGTACGGCTGAATCGAGGCGTACTGCTTGTAAAAGTTGCTCATGTCCTAACAAGGTTAGTTATTAAAATAAAGAACACAACTTTTTGAGCGCATCTTACAGTGACCAAGTCCTTTATTACGTACATATGAGGAAGGGGATAAATTTTAGTAGGCTTGCCCGCCTCTTTTATTCTTGAGGTACAGGCTAAAGTATTTGCGCCCCCAATATTCATAGAACAGGAGCCACAAATGCCTAATATTATTACAAAATGCTGTACTTTTTAAATACTAGTTTTATAAAAACCCACCCTCGCGACAAGAACGTCTAAACGTCAAAGTAGGATCTTGTTCGTTTTTAATTTTTATAAGAGCGTCAAGAACCATAGGCCCACATTCTTTTAGGTTAACAAGGTAACTTTGTAATCGGGGCTTCTCATTACCCTCTGGACTCTACAAAAACAGAAAAATAAATATTAAAAAAGACAGAAATAGGTATACTGTGGATAAGAATTTTTATTCTTGAAATAAAGAGGATAAGTAAGTTCACCCAACGGTATACTAAAAATTCTTTCACGTTGGCGGTAGAAACACTTCTAAAGATCTTAAATAGTTAAGTTAATTTTATAGAAAATAAGGGTTTACGTTTAAACACAGCTCACAAAAAAATACTAGGCATTAATATGCCATTTAAAAAAATACTAGAGTTGTACTTGAAAGTGTTTCTTATTTAATTTCGAAACTTTCATTGAGAACATTGTTTATAAAGTCTTCACCTAGAAGATGGAAACAACGCATAATAAAAGTAACTGAGTCTGTCGCCGTATATCCGAAAACTTACGAGTACTGTTATAACCCTCGCCAATGACCTTAACCCTTAAATGAATTGTTAAAAGCTTCTATCTCTTCAATATGAATCTTTGCTTTTTCAGTGTTGATAAACTTAATTAAGTAGTTCAATTACATCATAAATATTATAAATTGTTTTTATGGTTTGACCCGCTTGACGAGTAATTTAACAATTGCGAAGATTAGTCAAGCGAGTTTGCACATTTGCAACGCCCTCAACCACGCTTTCATTCATAATGTAGTAAGTAAAGAAGATTCTAAATATAACTATTTAAGCTTCAAATGTGTTATTTCTATATTTTATTAAGTAATATTCATAAATTTACCACTAAGAGTACGTGTACTTTCTAGCCTTAAGCTTGAGCCGCTATTTTTTTACCTCTTTTAAGTTCTCTGACTAAAATAACATTAAAAGCTTTAGTTATGCTACTTTAGTTGACTTAAACAATGATAAAAGTCTAGTAAATGTATAAGATTATAAATCTTTAAAGTAAAAAGGATTTTTGGATAATAATTACAAAATAATAAGCACAATTTTCTGCTAATGAGGTTAATCACAAACCTTACAGCATTGATTAAGGCTTAAAACAGGATATAATTTTAAATGTTAAAAAAAACCCTCTTTAAATCGTATTCAATGATACTGAAGGATTATGGTAGATAAAGTGAATAGCCACCTTTGAAAAGGAATTTTAAAGATGTATCGTGCCAACATTTCAATATGATTAAAGCTTGAGGTACAGTCAAGTAAACAACTTCTAAATTAACCCATTATACCCAGTTCATACTCTCATAAATCACATTTGTGCTTCAGTAAAGCCGTCAAAAAAGAAGAGAATCTTTAATACAGTGATTATGGCCTTAAGTTGCCAAGAAACATACTGCTAAACAGGGGCTGCCCTTGTGCCACCCTGCAAAAGAAACTTAATTTTTAAAACATAATGGGAGTTATATAACAAAATTTTAAACCCAAAATGCGACATTTTAATCATTATAAGGGCTGATTTCTTCTTATATATTTTAAATAAAAAAAAAGATTAACAAAAAATTTTAAATAAAAAGTAGAATCTGAGTATTGCCTAATTTGGAGCCTTCTAATTTATATGTATCTAATTTTAAATTAAATTACTTGGGTTAGTTTATTTATAATTATGATAGATAATAACAAAACTTTTTACACCTCGTTTTGCCTTTATAAAAGCTTTTACACGTTTAAGGAGAAAATTCAATAATTTAAGTACATTGAACCCATGCTGCAATAGACTGGTATCGAGACCACGACATGGTTTTTACGTTTTGACAATTTAACTTTAGAGTTATAGTGGCAGCTGTCTCCTTTCTGATGGATTTACGTATGCATTTGCTTCCCTCAAAAACACTAATGATTAACTAAATTTAGGTGAACTTGGGCGATGACCTAATTAAATATGATATTTATTAAAGTAAGGGTGTGTATTAAGTTTGTTATCTCAATAAAGGATTTTCTGCCTTTTTTCTTAGAACGTTCACTTTTTGGCGTGGCGGACCTTTTTTATCATGGGTCCATATCATAATATATGATCCTTTTCCATTCTAACCTAGCTCGTTTTCTTACTTTCTTTATTCCTTTTTTTTAATGTCGCTCAATGTTTTTTATTATAAAGAGGTAGGACGGTTTAAAGATGAGTGAAAAAACTGTGCTTTTTTGCAAACAATTTTTGAGATGCACCCAGGGTGTTACGAGGCGTCCTCGCATTGTAAGATGAACTACAATACTAATTGTACTATTGAATTTCCCACCACGCTAAAAAGTGGAAACCCAACTTAAAAGGGCACAAAAATTATTTGTTAAGTATTGAGTCCTAACAATAATAAAAAAGTTATAATAATGCTATTTTGGGACATCTAATATAAATTTATAAGCTAGTTTAGAGAGACTACCTCAAAGAGCTACTTGCTCCTTTTTTACAAAGTACAACAATCTAATTTACATGTTATGATTACACTACAGGTTCCATTTTTCCAGGCTACGATTACCCTATTTTTCAGACCGGTGATTATCAAGTAGCCTTTTTATTTAGTTTGACCCATGCCAGCGGTATCAGTTATACTAAAAGCAATTCCAACTTAGTATTTATAACACTAAGAATATTAAAATTATCTTAATTGTTGTTAATAATTAATTAAATTAGTATATTTTAATTAAAAAAGAATGTGATTTAAAATTGGTAAATTCACGTCCTTTTACCTGGCATTCTACTAGTTTACAATTGCAGAAGTTAGAATCTTCCTTCTTGTTTATTGTCTACAAGTGCATCTTTCATTAAAATGGCTAGCCCTGGGCTAAATAAAGATAAACGTATCCTGATATCAAGCTTCTATTTCACTCTGTACACCCTAAGAATGATCATACGAACCTTACAATCTACATTAGTTCACGGGTCAAGATAGTAGGGCTTAGTTAAGGATACGTGGCTCTGTTCGGAAAGTCACTAATTTATTTGTCTCTATATCACCCACTAATAGACTTCCAAGTTCACGCATAACAGTGCGAACACTAACAATGTGCTTGAGATATTTAAGTGGTCGGTACAACTGTAGACTGTCACAAGAATAAAAAAAACTTAATACCACATTTTAAATAACTTTTAAAACATCAAACAAAAAACAAAATACAAAAAACATATACACAAAACAAACACCACTTAAAAGTTATAAAAAAAACATTTCTGTGAGTAAGCTAATCAGGTACCTGAAAACCAGATAATAAAAAACAGGAAAAGAGATATTAGGTTTGTTCACATACAGAATAATTTGACCCGCTATACCACTACTACGGGTACTATCAAAACCAAGAAAAATACTGGTAAAATTAAATTTGTTATACAAATGTGGAAGTACTTTTGACGTAATTAAAAGATATAAATACAGATCGAAAACCGGTTAATAAAGTGGTTTTTCGTTACCTTAGCTTATTTTTTTTGTAATTTTGTATTTCATATATTTATTTTATATAGTATATTATTTTACTCAATTATACAAATTATATACATACATGTTGCAAAGAAAGAGATCCTACCGTGAATGTTATTGATTAAAGCTACGACCAATAAGCTCAGAGATCTAAGCCACTTCACGCTCTTCATCGCTATTAATCTAATATTTTTTACTTTTTACGTATAAAAACGCTTATTTGTTTTAATAAAAAGCACTCTTTTTTCTTCTTACAGCCCCTGGTGCGCGCTTGCTTGGTTTGCTTAGAGGGAGTTGCTTATTCTTTAACTACTAAACTTGACTTTCTTGAGCTAAGAATGTGCACATTTTAAACATAAACTGTCTAAAAGCGACGCTACGCAAACCATAAACAATATGACTGTGCTCTTGTAAGGATAAATAAACCTATTAATTGGCTAAGTGGCACTCAGTAACTCTGTTTTTATAAAATGGAAAGCACTATAAAAGAAATAAACAAGAAATAACAATGCAAGTTTATAAGTTGGTAATAAATTTGTTTAGTTAATATTCTTATTAAAGTGTACAACCCTGAAACATGAAAACGTAAGACAAATACGTGTAACAGCACACCTATTGGAAATTGGGGTCAAAATTTATATTTAGTATCAAGTATTGTTCTAGATCACAGTTGTTAGAAGTAAAATAGTTTGGCCTAACCGACTGGCGGTATGCAGGCTCTATAAATTGACTAACGGCGAGGAACTAGGGCAAGAGGCAGAAAACCGGAAAGCAAAAGCTTAAAATTTTATAGTAAAATAAGAGTTTACATACATGCATATGGTACAAAGCTCGCCAAAGTATTACTCCAATAAGTACGCAAATGTTAGTTTGCATTAATAATTAATAAGCAGAGCAAATAAACAAAGACACAAATATGTAAACTGTGATTACTTTAACACAGTTCCCTGAATTAAAATTATTAGCTAGTTATCCTAGAGACCTATAAGTAATTTGATGACCAGTCATATACATTTGTTAAGAAAATCAGCTAACATTTCATTTAAAGGTCGTACTTTAACAACACATAATAGCTCTCCACTTCATCTTTATCTAAGTTATATTACGTCAATGTTTTGACAATTTGGTTCCACTTTTATAGTATGCAATATGTATTAAAGATTTATTATTGGCCTTAACAATAGGATAATCAACTAGACATCTGAGTCCCTTATACATATTATTAACAACCGTTTCTATGCCTTGGGGCAATATGGGCTCACCGTCATACCTTAAAAAACTTCTTGTATTTCTTCATTACCAGGGGCTTGCCCAATGTCACTGCCCTTAGAAACAATAGTGTAAAAAGGTTTTTTTATAATATAATTACTTGCTGATACAAGAAAACCACATCGGTTTATACCTTTTTTTATTGGGAAAGCAATGCAGTACATTCACTTTGGTCCCGAATTTTAAACTAGAGGTTGGTTCAACTTCCGTAATTTATATTCTACCAGTAAGTTCTCTTAAAATTACAATATGTGACATCTGGCGTTGTGGGGGACTCATTGCCACCATGACTTTCTCAGGGCTCTACTATGTGGTCGCTAAGTCAAAGGAACGTTTACATTTTGCCCCTCCTCTATATGGCTTTTTCTTGCTTCTCTAGTAGATACTATAAAGCTTAATCTTCGCATTTCTCTTGGTTTTAGGGTTAAAAATCCTAACGCAACCCACAGATATAAACTGAAGGAAGCTAAATATTGATCTTTAATTTGGGATAATATACTATCGACTAGAAAAAATCCCATTCATTAACTTTCATTAACTTTAGAAATGACTATAAAATTTTTTTCAGCAGCCTGAGTATACGTTACTTAAAAATTCAGCAGCATAATTTATGGCCTCCGGCTTAAAACTGTCATCTAAATTGGCTCGACGCAACATTGTCTTAGCCATTAAATGCTCTGCCAGTGGGTTGTGTGGAGTTTATGGGCGGAAAATTGTAGTATTAACCTGTTAAAAGTGAAATAGCTTAACTTAATCGAATGACGGTATGCAGGCTCTAAACCGACTAATGAATGGCGTATACTAATAGAGAGAAAAAACAAGAAGCCAGAAGCCAGCATTTAGAAGAAGGCACAACCTTACAACTATATTGTAAAATTAGGGTTTATATTCATGCGCATTATAATAATATTTCTAGATTTTAATAAATTGTTACCAATAAAACGCACTAATGTTAGGTGGCATTAATTAATAAGCAAAATAAACAAAAAGATACAAATATGTAAACTGCGTGGTTTATTTTAAAAGCATAAATCTCTACTGATGACCAATTTTGTTTGGGTGAAAGTGATTTTTCCCCTCCTTGCTTTAAAATATAGATAAAAAAAAATTAAGTTTAACTACCAGCATACAAAACTTTAACTAGCCTTATTTTGTTAAAACAAAATATAGCTTAGTTGAAGAGTTTTTTTGATTACTAAAGTTGGTTGTTGGCCTATAGCTGCTTTTTGTGGAGCGAGGTATAAACTGTTTGGTCAGGGATAAATAAGCTTAACTAATAAAAAATTGATTACTAAAATTGGTTGGCCATTTCAAGTTGCTCGTGGTACGATGTTGGGATATTTATATATAACGGGTTGCGAAGCCTTACAATTCTCAGCTTATTTATTTTTACTCCGCTTGAAAGGGATGTCGAACGTTGTGCCGCCTCTGGGGGAGTTAGACCGAGCTATAGCCGAAAAAATAAATTCAAAATATAACCCCGAATTAGAAAGGGAAGTAATTGACTGGATAGAACAACTAACCGGTTTAAGGAGCCCTGGTAACAAAATTGGCTTATTGTTGTTACTTAACGACAAGACTAAAGAAAATCATTTATTACTTTTCAGGTACTAAGGACCAATTTCAAGAGTTTTTAAGAGATGGTCAAGTTTTGTGTAAGTTGATGAATCGCCTTGTCCCGGGTATTCATTATTATATTTGTTTTATTATTGCTATTCCCCGTTTTGTACATATATTGTACAAACCTTTTTTTTAAAGGTGCTATTCCAAAAATAAATGATAGTAAGTTGGCTTTTAAGCAAATGGAAAACATAGAAAACTTCTTAAAAGCTTGTACCAACGAACTAAACGTTCCACCTAGAGATCTCTTTCAAACTGTTGATTTATACGAAAATAAAAATATGGTTCAAGTCATCGATACTATTCACGCCGTTGGCCGCCATGCTAAAGCTAAAAACTATAATGGTCCTACCATTGGTGGCAAGTTAGCAGAACGTAATATAAGAAATTTTGATGAAGCCACATATAATGCTGGAAAAAATATACCTTCACAGCAGATGGGTTCTAATAAGAATGCTTCTCAAGCAGGTAACACTCCTTACGGTGCTAAAAGGGAGATAGATCTTCTGAGTCACCATAAGTTAAGATGAAATGCTAAATTATTTAAGATCAAACTCGACTTTAATAAATCATTAAATATACATTGCATAACTTTTTGCTTCCAGCTCTTAATTTTTTTCAGCAGTCCGTAAGGTACAAAGCTTACTGTGCACACTAACTTTTTGCTTACTTAATTTTACAATTTGGCTCGATATAGTATTAATGTGAATAAAGGGGTAAACAAGCAATAAAAGTTTAATAGGTTCCTGCTGCTACCTCACTTATTGAATAATAATAAAGTGATTGTAAGAGGTCGCAATTGCAAGCATTACATACTTGGTTTGAAGATAATCACCGGGAAGTGGACATTTGGATGCCAAAGTAAATATTGGGCTTATTTATGGTCAAAACCTTTCTTTAATTATTGATGGCCATATTAGAAAAAAATTGCTGCAAAGATACCTGCCGATTACACAAAGACACTGCGAGTATCTAGACTTTAGAGAACAGCTAATATATGCTTACTAGAGAGGTAATATTCCCTAAATAGTTAAAAAAGCTCGGAATAATAATACTCATATCATGAGCTACTCGTTACCTTTCTAGAAATTGTTGATAACTTCGCTAACTTTTTATTAAAAAACAGATTAAAACTTTACAACATTATTGTGTTTAAGTGTACATTTTTTTTAAAAGCTTCTGTATTTAAATGTTAATAAAAAAAACACTTCCACTCTAGATTTACGCTTTTTTGGACTCTATTATTTTACAGAGTTTAGAGTAAAAAGATATGTATACACTTTAAAAAAATAAAAGCAATTTTTAATAAAAATAAAGTCAGTTTAAATTATTCAACTTTAAGCTTAGATCACAGCAATGCATAGTACAATAAAAATAATACTAAGTGTTCTTTAAATTATAATAAAATCTAATACCTGCCGAATGTTAATATTAATATTTCTAAAACTTTTTCAAGTACGTAAAATTTAGTTCACCTCGAGTCTTAAAACAAATAATTTGTTAAAAAAAAGGTACAGCCGTACCCTACAATTAAATTTTCGTTTACTAATAATATCCTATAATGTGTCTAGCTAGATACAGTTCTCCTATAATCTTTTAACCAACTCATGATGTTCATTGTTAAAACTAGGCTTCTTAGATTTTACTATATAAAATGCAACATCGTAATAGTACAAGTACAACACCAGATTAAAATGCTATATTGTCTGCCTTACATAGTTCAACTTAAAGAACTCAACAACTTTATATGTTAATTGCTGCATTTTAGGTATCACTAGATGAACAAAACAAAAAACCGATTATTTGTATCATCGTACCTCTTAGTAGGAATTTATTACATATCAAGTTATGAATAGCCCAAAAACTTTAGTCCTTGCTAAACTACTTCCGAAAGAAATAACGTTTATCCTTAAAAGATTTGATTGGTGCACGTGGTTAAATAGATATTTTTGTAACCAGCTAAGTCGTGGCTGTTTGATTTATTTGATTTTAAAGAGGTCATGTGTTTTAATTTCTATTAGAATTATTTAAATAGCTTTAATTTTTTTTGATTTAAAATTGAAGTTCAACTTTCATTTGGTGTATACTTGTGTTAGTATCATTCTGTGTTAACTATTTCCACGTGATTAGTATTTTTTGACATGACTTAGCGATATTTTTTAAGCTCGTAAATAAGTACCGATTATTTGCTGACGTTACATTCACGTTACAGTACTCATTTATAAAACCTTAATACCTATAACATAAGTAGATATAGAAAGGTAAGAAAATAGACGGGGAAAAAGATTTCTTTCGAGCCTTACTTCTTGTCTGTTATGAAACGATCGGTTGCAATCGAGATATTAAGGAACCCTAGACTTTTAGTAAAATTTAACAGGTCAATCTTGGGTTAAATAGACTCCCGAACCTTCCTATGACACTAGGTGTGATTGTGCTTGGCTTGGTTATATGCTGTAATGCCACCTATTAACCTACTCTTGATTATAGTTCTGACGCCTTGCTTAGACGCACCGAAGACGGTGGTTGTCAAGTAAGAGGAATTGCTCTTTAACTTGGAAAAAAACTTAATATTGACAATAGTAACTACGAGGTTTCTTCAAATGTTGCAGGTGAGTTCTGAGTAGTATGCGCTGAGGATTTGTTGATGCTAGCAGGTCCTTATGGCGATTGCTTAGGACTTTCGACCGGTGAAGCTTTGTACATAGGTTTGGACTTGCTTGCTTCATACTCATTACACTCGGAAGAGTCTGCCTTCAACCTTAGTGGTTGAAAACCTGCTACTCTGGCTATGAAGTATGATGGGTGATGGCTTAACAAAAAATCTTTAGCATGACATTCTTGTGCCTTGTTGTCTTTTATTGATTTAGCCTTCGCTGCAGCATTCATATCCTTATTCTGGTACTATTGCGGAACGTCTTATATCTAGTTTATTTATATAAGCTGATGTAAATGGTTTTTTTATATTAATTTACAAATATTTAAAAACTTATTAAACTACTAAGTATAACGTTAAGAATCGTTGTTTTTTTAAACGACATTAAACGTAAATAGTTTTGAATGACTACAGCGTAAGTTAATACATACTCGTTTGTAGAGGGGTCAGTTTTTCGAACTTTTGTGGTACGTAATGGATGATGTCGTTTGTGTAGATATACCCGACCCCGACACCATTTTAAAAGTAAACATAATCATGCCTCGTTAGAACCTTAACAAACCTCTCTCACTCACTACTACGCAGCGACGATAATTTAATCATGGTGATATACCAGTACAGGTCACAAGGCTTTGTTGTGCTGTTATGTACAGTTACAAGACATAGGCGCGTCTTGAGGGCCTTATGCACATTTCCTGATAATTATTTTTATAGCCAATAATGGCTATTATTAAAATCAGATGATGCATTTTAAAAATGCTTGTTAAGGTTAATGTATCAATGCTTGTATGACCGCGCCATCAACCTCACTTTCGTTATACGGGTCAAAGCAATTCAATAAACCTTGTTTCTGATTCATTCCTACCTCCACCTAATTGGAGTAAGCGTTAAAATTAATATATATACATACTGAGGGCAATTAAAAATTTAGTAAAATATAATAATTATGTGTGTAAGTACATAACAAAAACAGGATGTACCACTTTTTTAACTGGTTAAAAAAATTTAATAGTTGAAAGACCTAAACCCTTAAAAGTAACATATCAAGTAAAAATAATTGGCATCTCTAGGAGGAATAGTGAACCCTCTTTGGCATCAGTTTAATCTCCTTGTAGCATAAAAATTATTACTTAAAGTCAGTTAATTTATTTTAAAACTCGTTATATAAGAATTTAATTAATACAATTTTGTTATTTAGTACAAAGTAAAATTAATCTGTGGTTTCCAGATTTTGGTATATATGCACATTCTCTCGGGACTGCCTCTATGGGTAACTTTCTCTAGGATTTTACCACTAACCAAAATGGAGGGAAGTTCAAGCTCGGTAGAGCCCTGTTTTCTCTCAAGAATTCAATATAGTCATGATGCTCCAAGAGAACTTTGTTTGTTGGGAGATTGTACACGTAACTACCAAACCAGAAAAAAGTGAATTGGCACTGCCCGGAACCGAACCTCGGCCTTGAGATTGCGCGACATAGCTCTAACCACTCGATACATTACATATGCAACCTTTTTAAAAATGCACTTGTGGGTATTCCTGCCCTAACCCTCCTAGGGAAGGAGAATAGAAGTCACGCAGTTTAAAGTACTTTACCGTACTGACCAGTATATTAGTAGTAAAAAAAATTTAAGGTATAAAAAGATAGAGTGGTTTTCCCCCCCTGTTCTGTCTCTTCGCTTTTCACCATTTTTTTGGGTGCTTTACCCTTTTTCGCATATCTACTGCGAGGTAACATTAAGATTGAGAATTTGGGGCTTTGAAGAAAAATCTCGTAGATACTTTATCAGGACTAATGCTAGTAAGAAATAAATCAGATGAATAAAAATAAATAGAATAAATAATAAAAGTTAAATAAGTAAAGTTAAAAAACTAAAATAAGGGGTAAAATATAAATTGTAAAATTTAAAAAAAAAAGAGAAAATTTTTTTTTAAGATTCCTCGGTAACCAATCTTGGAGGCTTAAAAAGATAGTAAATCGTTATGATGAATTTTTTTAGATTAAAAGACTGTGAAAGTTTAATTAATGCCATTTGATCTAAAAATGATGTTTATTGCACTAGCGGTTCATACATATATAATATAAACTTAATAAAAGGTATATGGGATTTTTTTCCTATTTTGCGCTTCTTTGCCCTGCAGTTGTTCATTTAGTCTGCAGGGCTCAGTAATTGATTAAAACTCGAATCAAAACCAAACCAACAAACAAAATGAACTCAGCAAAGTGATCCAAAGGGTTGCTAATAACAGGAAGCATTATTTAAAACAAAAAGAAATCTAGAATTTCTCCTAGGTTTTTTTTAGGTGCTGGCATACTACGACCGGTCTTCATAAGAGGTATTAAACCGCTTAATATGAATCCCCCTCTTCTGCAAACGTTGGGGCACGAGCGTCCGCCAGTGCACGTCTTTAGAGAGCTACACTGACCCTCCTGGAAAAGCAGGAAATATTAGACCAGACGCCCTCTAATTCGTTCTAACTGGGACCCCCAAAGCCACCATCGAGAGAGGCAAGCCTTAACGGCAAAGCCCCCTCCCCGACTATTGGATCGTTTATTCAACAAACTTTAATACATCTATACACATATATATTTTCAGTTAGATAAAATCTAGAATTTATTCCGTAAGATATAATTATCGAAGCTGGAAAATTTTAGCTTATTTTTAACTGCGTGTAATTTTAAAAAAAATAATATATCAAGATTTTCAAAATAATATTGAAAGTAAGATATATTAAATTCCTTATTTCTAAAGAAATTTTTATTGATAATACTTTAACTTCATTGGTTCTTTTTAGAGTATAGCTTGATAGACTTTTTAAAATTTATTTAGCTTGCAATTAACTCCTTTGAATAAATATAATTTTTTGCTGGAAGAAGTTAGCGTGAGCTTAATAATAACTTGAGATACTAAAATATTGACAAAAAAAGAAGGAGCGATCATTTCCTTGCCCACTAGAGGAAGGGGATTTATATTTTAGGGAGTAATACTACGAAAGGTATACACGTGGTACCTAACAGACACACGTGGCATGGCACGTTATTTATCGGAGTTTACCAAAATTTTGTTTGTAAGGAATTTGTACACGAAACCACCAAAACACGAAAAAGGTGGATTGACACATCCGTGAATTAAACCGGCGACTTTGAGATTGCGCGACAACTTTGCCCTAGACACTGAGCTACGGTGACAACTCACATTTTCGGCCTACAAATTACGTATACAACTTTTGTTAAAGTAAATCCCAACTTAGTGAAAGCATCTTTTTGGCACAAGCGTGTACGCACTGACATCATAATTTTGGGAATAGTACACGAGAAATTTGTTACAGAACTTTAACAGGTTAAATACGTAAAGCTATCATATCGAGCTTGATTTATCTTACCTGAAATGCATTGAAGCTCATAGTCAAGACCATGTATTCGATTATTCTCACCGACGCGATTCTCTTTTTCGCTCTTTACTGGCTGCATATTTAATCTCCGCCCTAAAATCCCATTTTTTCTAACTCATTTTGGGATCCCTATATATTTTGTAAAACTCCCACTGTAGGTCTAAAAATTTTGTGCTTTCATCGTTTGTTGTATGTTGTAGGAGAGTCGTCGTAGTCTGTTGAATGGGTGGTTCCTTAAAAAGTTTAAAGCTGTTAAATTTAATTATACAGACCTTACACTTTTCCGTTATCTTTTTATTAAGTAAACTTAAAATTCGTAACACTTATACCCATATAACTTTTATAAATTTCATTATTGGCTATAACCTATTCAGTTCTCCGAGTTTGGGGCCCGGAAAAATTACCAAAAGATGTAAGTCAAATTGGTAAGCGTGGGTAAAATAAAAGCACACTGTAAAAGGTTGAATGTGTTAATATATCATACCGAAAAAGAGAGTTGCGTCAATGGGAATCGAACCCAAGTTGAATTTCCGCGTCAGTTCTTAATAGCGCGTGAGAGAGAACACCTCTCGATACATGTGCAATACGCTTAAAGATATAAATATAAGAGCATTGGAAATTATTGGTGCTTAATTAAATAAGATAAAAATAACTGTGCATATATTTCTCATAGGTAAACTAATAACTCGTTTTGGAAAGCACCACTTTTGCTTTTTGAAGTTGTCTTTAGTAAGCCTACTTACTTTTTTGTATGAACCGTATTATGCGTTAGCAATTTGAGCAGTAGCCTTCCACTGTGCTTAACCGGTTAACATAAATTGAATGTGATGGTGGGGCGGTTTTTCTGGTAATTATTATATTTCCATTAGCAATTTTTTTTGGATCTATTTTTCAGAGAAAAAAAGAAAATGGAAGGATTATACCAACAAATCGTCAACGGTAACTTATGGGCTTATTATGCCTGTTATTTTAAACCTTTATGATATAGGGGGTGGGGGGGGGTGGAATTTTCTTTGATTTAGCTTCACAGAGCTTGCATGAGATGATTTTAAAGTATGAGCAAAAAAAAGAAATTCCAACGCTTACCAAGGAAGGTAGCTTTACGTTCCTTACGCTTGACCGAGAATTTTATTAAATATTTTATTTTTACTAGAGTAGTTTTCTTTTTAGTTTTAATTTCTAACTAGTTTTAGTATATAATAGTTTCTATTTGAAACAATTGGTTAGTAAATTTTTTGTTGTTTTTAAAGCTTTTGCTTTAGCTTACATCAGAAGTAATTGATTTTTTTTGCAATATTTGGGAGCAGCTGGACTGTTAAAAGAATTTAACAACCTTCAAGAAGACTATGCGCGCCTCACTGAGTACCGCTTTCGACAGAATTTTGAACTCCGGGGCGCTTTTAAAGGGTAATGCTTTACGGTAACTTTTACCTTACGTTTAAAACTTAGATTATCTTACCAACATAATAGTTTTTTATAGGCGCACCTTTTTTGCACCTATTAATACCTTTTTTTTTTATTTGCTGAAAAATTATTAATATAGCAAAATGGAACAACTTAAATATGACTTGGAACTTTTAAAGAGTGCGATAGATCAATTTCGGAGAAAAAACGAGAATCTGCGTGCTTTGAAAACAAGAGAGGAGCTTTTACTTAATCACAAATTCTTTCCCGTAAGAGTCAGATATTTAATTTATATTTTGTTATGTAAAAGAACACATGTGCCTTTATTTTATCAGAATCAGGAAACTTCGATTGGCATAGACCCCTTTTCTAGAGAGTCAGATCTTCTTGACGAGGCCCATAGGCAAATGAACTTTAATTTTTTTTTTCCTTTTTTTAATTATTGTAACTATTATAAGTGTGCACGCTTTATATATAACTTCTATTGTAGTTTTAAACCCTTAAGCATAATGTTGGTCAACTTACATCTATAGAGATTAAAATTGTAGAATTTAAGTTGTAAATAAATATTATAAGAGATTTAAAAAATTCACTTGGTAACGCGATTTAAACTTTGTGAAAATCTATATTATCACGTTTTCATACAACAGACAAATGGATGCCCTCCTCTTTCAAGGAAGTTACTTTTATCAAAATATTATAGAAAGTGGAAACATGTTTAAAGTACCAAATTACTGTACTTTTTCTTTCTTTTTAGAACTTTTTATAGTTTGACTGAAATAGATTAGTTAATTGTGAGTGTAGTACAATTTAGCACGGTTTATATGGGAAAATTTTGTTAGTCTCTATACAAAGTATTCGTTTTTATACTTGAAGATACTACAGATACAGTACCTGTAGAGTTTAGTGCATTGAAGAACTGTTAGAACTAATGTGGCCAAGTATACTGAATGGAATTCATTATAAACTTCTATAGGGGCAAAGCTAACTGCTTCTAAGTCTTAAACTTTTAAAACTACATATAAAACTAGTTTAAACTAAATTTAGCTATACTATTAAAGCAACTATTAATTTTACAGAAATATAGTCCCGATTCTGATAGCTGCAATTTTATTTACCTGGTATAACTATAAGCTTTATAGTTTTTTTTTGCAGTGTTCCAAGTTTCCTCTGTACTAAAAATTAGATAGCGAACATAGTGAGGGGATAAACGGATCCTTTTCGGCTATTTAAGAACATCCTTTTAACGTTTAATAATTTTTGCATCCCACGAATTTTTTTTGTAGTGCAAGCTACACATTCTATACGGTCAGTATGGAAGTGGGCGCTCGGTGGCAGTCAGTTGTTGGTTAAGTTAAGTGCCTCATCCTTAGTAATGAATAGATAATAGAGCCTACTTGAGTGTGTCAAAACATAACTAGTATGAAGGTAGGTATACTCAGGGGGCATTATGTAATTTAAAAACTTTATTACTTTATTTTTGTATTAATAATAGTGAGGTTATAGGATTGTAAAAAAACATTTTAAAATATTGTCAACATAAGAATTTTTAAAATTTTAAATAGAAAGCACACTTAAGAGTTGTGAATATGATGGGCTCTATGGATTTATCGCAATCTCTGCTACGTCTAATAGAGAGACGGCAGGTTATATATTGGCCATCGCTTTTATATATATCATTTAAAGGTTTCTCTAAATTAACATTAGTTAATTATACAATAATAAATTTTTTAAAGTTCTATTAACTATTTTAATTAAATTCTGGTTGTTATTTATTACTAATTCTTCATTTTTTTCTTTCAGGCCCAAGATTATTACATCTTAATTGGTGGGATACTCGCCACAAGCAGTATTGTATGGGCGGCCATCCACTACTTCATGTGACAAATTACTGGGATGTATTCAACATACTCTTCCCCCATATATGTGCGTTAACGAAACAAATTTTTAAATAAAATTCTAATTAAATATTTTATGTTAGCATAAATGCTTTTGGTTAATTGGTTACTAAATTGTCATATTATAAATAATAAACTTTGCTAAAGATAGAAGAGTTACGTAACTTTTTTCGAAAGAATCTTAAAGAGATGAATGTCTTCTAGTAAAACGTTTTAAGACGCAAGTTAGACTGTTCATTAAATTTATACAATTTAAAGCATATAATAAACAAATTAATTAACTTTTTAAGATTCTAAAGTTCCCTGGTAATTATACTCGAGAATGCGAAAGGCAAAAATAGACCATTCTCTTATATACTGGTTCATAGGGTCCCACTCCAGTTGCTTAGCTATTAAAGAAAGAACGCCCAATTCCCTCGCCCTGTTCTGAGCTGGTAAATACTCGAAGCTCAACACAGCAACGCCGCGTATCAGCTCTTTCCTCAAACCTGCCACTTTCCTGATTGCCCAAATTGAGTAAAGTAAAAATAAATAAGCAACAATAAGCAGCACTTACAAGAAATAAGGATCATGAGTGGCAAGACTCAATAGAAGAACACAACTTTCCAAGTAATTGGTCTTTTCTAGCAAAAATGGACACAAAACTTCCCTTTGGCTGTAAAATTAAATTAAAGTTTTATAAAAATAACTGTAAATTATAAAGTAACACCTTTTAATTAAAAAGTTGGACAATATCTTGAGAATGAATAAAATAGATAATTCAAGAAGTTCCAGTCTCAACACCTCAAGTGACAGTTCTTCGATAGCCCTTTCTCCTAAAACCAAGATTTTTGTACTTATATATTGAAATTCGCGAGTGAATTCTTTAAATTTTCGAGCTAAAAAATCAATGGTGCTCATAGAAATATATATGTCGTTCCGGCTCACCAATTCTGAATTAATAGTTAATTCTCTCAGCAAAATTTTTATGTTGAAACCCTCCTCGATTATTCTACAAAAAACATCTAAAACTAAACCACCAACTCTAACTTTCCATAAAGTGGTATTAACTGTATTCCTCTCTGTACACACGGAGGGATCCATATACAATTGTACTAAGTTAAGTTTTTCTAACTTTACTCCCAAAAGTTGCGGGGCCCCTTCCAATAAGGTGTATAAATTTACTAAATTTTCAGTACGGACGATTGTATCAAAAATAAAGCGCAGCCATTCTAATCCTTCCTCAGTTTCGGTGTAGCTACCATCTTTAAGTAAAAAATCTTCTTTTAAAATCATAACCATATGTAAGCATAATAGCGTAGATTCTATATTATTAGTATTATCAATGCCTTTGTTATTATTTACACTATCTGGAGCGCCCTTACATAAAGAAGAAACCAAGCTTTTTAATTTTTTGTTATCAGTAAGAATGCAATTGTATATTATCATAAATATAACGCCCACTATTTTGTTCTTATACCCGTAAATCTCTGGATCGCAAAGCGACCTTATGTTTATTACCTTTGTATAAATGCATTTCTTATTAGTTATAAAACCACTGTGATTGTTGTTGCAATCATTAGCACCTAAAGAATTATCAGCTTCAGCTAAAATAAAATATAAAAAATCTAAAATGCAAGTTAACAAGTTAAACCGAGAAATTTCCTTTATAAGGTCCATGTCTATGTCTTTAACTTTATAATACAGATAATTAAAAAATTTGATAAAAATGAAAGGAAGGTCAGAAGTTAATATAACTGAACTTTTCTCCGGAAAAAATAATAAACAGTCCCATAATAGGCTCTTATTTAATTCATTGTTAACGCAAGCATTGCCAAGTACCTGTAAAAGGTGGAAAATGCAATCCAGAAAGGGAATGACAGAATAATTTTTTTTAAACATCAAAGTACTTTTATAGTAATACATGATCTTTTGCAAAAAAATAGCAGCATTTACGAGAAATTGATAGTCCAAAATGGTAGACTGATGAGATTCAGAAAAAGCACATAAAGTCCTTAGAATTTTAGTAAGGACGATGATAATCTTAAAGCTATATAATTCAGGATTTGAAGGCCAGGTCTTGTGGTTCTTGAACTTTACAATGTAAAAATAAATTGAATTATTAAGCAACTTTATAAAATCTTCTACACCAAACTTCTCGAGTATTGCATTTTGGCTAGTTCTATTACGACATATAAAATTAAAAAGTATATTCAAATGCTGAGATGCTTGATAAATTTCTGTTTCTAAAATATTGGGGGATTCAAAATTTTTTATAAAACATAATAGGTAGTCCACGCTATCATTCATCGTAATTCATAAGAAAATAAGAAAAAAAAGGTTAAAGGCAAAATCTATAAGGTAATATAAACCTTTTCTATGGGGGATTTAGATGCTAAGATCACACTCTTAAACTAAGGAATAAAACTGAATAGGCAAGATGGGAAGAACGAAGCCCCCTGTTAGAGCACCACGTGAACATCCAAACTTTACCACAACTTCTTACATCATTACTTATACCCTTTCCAGCACCCGCCTCTTCAGTAAAGCTTCTTATAAAGGTCGACGTCAGTGTTTTGTCAGAAAAAATTAGTTTATTCTAAAAGTACAATTTTTTTGGCTGAGGTCATTATATTAAGTTTGCAGATAGAAAATTAATAATAGCAACTTACAGCCATGACTTCTAAAGGTAAGTTGGTCTTTACTGTTATCTTTTAACTTTGTTTAATATTTTTAAAGTTGCGTTGATTCTATTAGTTAATAATAAATTTAACTTTTATTTCATATACAAGCTTCTATTCTCCGAGCTAAAGAAAGAGCTCGAAGGCAGCTGAAGCGTAGACATGCCTCTGAAAGGTATGTTAGCCTAAAACCTTGTTTTTAATTAATTCTTTTTACTTTATTATATTATTATTAAATAAAATATAGGCCACATAAGATTATTCAAAAAACGTATTCTTCCTTAACGGAACAACAAAAAAACTTACTTAAGGGTATATATGTGTGTTTTTTATTGTTAACTTTATACTGTTGTTTTTGAATGTTCTGTTGTTTACCCCATGTGCCACCATTTTAGATGCATATATAACTTTTCATTATTAGGTTATATTGTATATTAATGAACGTTATTAACTTCCTTATAAAAGCTACTTAGTACTTATATTTATGTCTTTTATTTTACTTCTATATATTTTTTCTAATATAGAAAGAATTGGCTGTGTCGGAAAAGACCTTTTCACCCTTAGCGTTAAAAATAAGTAAGTATATATTGTAAACCATCTATTTATCTTTGGAAATTACCATATTTAACTATTTTATCTACATAAATATACCATATTTTTTAATAATATGGCTTTAAATATAGAGATGTGTATTTACCCTTTTTTGCTGACATGTGTTTAAAGGATTCCCATTTATCATTATCTATATATAATAATATGTTTAAGTTATAATATTGTCCATGTTATTAAGTATTTTTACTGTTTTGTAGTGGGTAATTTAGATTTTATAGTATCCTTTTTTTATAGCTGGAATTAAAGGAAAGCTATTTTAATAATTCTAAATGCGGGTAAAGGTCGTCCTTAATGTCCCTGGTCTTCTCTATTCCTTTATTTAATTTTTTTTATTAAATTACTTTGGACCCTTAAAAATATATATCTATTCGAGTTGTAGTTAGGATTATAGGCGCAAATTAATAACTTGAATAAAAGTTTGTTATTGATGCCTCTACAAGTAGACTAAGGATTTTATTCTTTTAATGAGAATCTATTCGATATGTATTATTTAGTTGCAACTTTATTTTATTTGAGTTTATAATATACATGCGTTAAAAATTTTTACAATCATTGTTTCTTAAAATTGCGGAAAAAGCTTTTTTATTTATTATAAATCCTTTTAATTTAAAATATTTATTTAAAGCGCTGAAAACCATGAAAGTGATGATTCTGATGAACATGAAGACCTTCATGACTATTATGTGGGTAAGTGATCGCGGCAGACTTTTTGTACTAACGCTCACGTTTGGCTTCTTTTATCGTTTTAGTAAGCAAAAAAAAGAACTTGGGCTTTACATTTTACTAATACATAATTTTTCCGGGCACGGATATTACTATATATGTTATTATATAGCAAGGTGGTTAAAAATTCTTTTCTTTGGTTATCTATACCTGTTTATTTACCATTAGTTCCTACTAATTTTACATTAGTTATTAGTAGGGACAAACAAGTATTCTTTTTATACACCTGCGGTTTAAGTAATAATGTTGTTATTAGCATTACAACGTTGCCTATTTCTCTTGTTTTCGCCAAAGGGCATGACTATACTATGAAAATCTTTTTCTAACTTAAAAAGCTAAGAAGCAGTTTATATTTTCATTGCAGATTTCTTTTTATGAAGTTTATTTTATTCTCTAACTTTTTTCCTACACCCAGTTATCTATATCTTCAACTTTTATATCAGTTTGCTTCAGAAATTCTAAAGCACCGCATGAGTACATTTGTTTGTTGTATATATGACCATTACCCTTTTGTTTATTGGTTCTTATTTAAAGCTTGTAAACGGTTAGGCGCCCTGTAGCAGTTCATGCGAACCCGTGAATTTTTATAATAATTTTTATTGGTCGTTATGTGTATTTCCCCGTTCGTTGATAGGGCAGTTACGGTTGTTAATGTACGAGCGGTGTGTTTTTAATTCCTTTTTACGCAAAGGCGGTTATCATGAAGTTAAAGTTGGAGAATTTTATAATGATCGTTATATTGTGCTGCATAAGCTGGGCTGGGGCTACTTTTCCACTGTATGGTTATCCATGGACTTGAAGTGTGTATTAAATCATAACCATCATAGACTTTTTTTTCACTCTTTCTAAAATATAGAAATGGACAGCTGGTTGCTTTAAAAATAGTCAAAAGCGATAAAAGCTACACTGAACTTGCAATGGATGAAATACAAATACTGAAAACTATCCGCTCTGAAGGGTCTTCCTTATTCCTTCAACTTCTGTATAAAATCTTTATATTGTTATGTGAGTAGTATAAAGAACGAGATTGGCCGAACCCGAATTGTAAATTTGTATGATGACTTCATTATTGAGGGGCCTAACGGAAAACGTAATGCTTAGAACAGCGTGAATTCAGTGTACTAATAACTGATTCATCCACTAGATGTGGTTCTCGTGTTCGAAGTTCTTGGTAAAAACTTGCTGAAACTTGTGAAAGAGTACAATTACGAAGGACTCCCTCTTTCAATGGTTAAGAATATCGCCAAGCAGCTCCTTTTGGGTCGCATTATTATTATTATTATTGTCATTATTATGTTCATTTGCTTTTCCTTTTTAGGGCTCGATCATCTCCACCAGAATTGCCGCCTCATCCACACCGATATTAAACCCGAAAACGTTTTGGTTATTGCTACTGCTTGTTTTTTGGCACTCTACGCAGTTATATAAATTATTTGTTAATAGCTGACTTGTGACCACAAGAGCATATTAAGATTGTGCCGTCAAGCATTAACTACTATTCTCAGTGAACACGCTGAAGAACGTTCTGAACGTTCTGAACGTCCTCTTCTTCACGAGGTTTTGTTTTTGCTTGACTCTCTCTATTGGCGCTGTTTTGCGAAGAGTCACTCTTTAGTAAGCCCTGCAAAGAGAATTGATTAATTTTTGCTATAGATAAATACAAAGGAGAGCAGCGTTAACGAGACGCCATCTGTCGCTTCTTCTGTAGTGAGCTTAGAAGAAGAACTAAAAAGCAAAGAGAATTTTACCAATGACTGCACCTTTACCGTAAAACTGGCGGATCTTGGTTTTACTTAAGTTAGTTTCTTATATACGTAACCTTCTTATTTGGGGTAAAGGGAATGCTTGTTGGACTTATAAGCACTTCACCAATGATATACAAACTAGGCAGTACAGGAGCCCCGAAGTCATTTTAGAAGTTTTACGTTATTACAGTTTATATAAATACTTTTATCACAATACTTGTTAGGCGGGTTATGACACTATAACGGATATGTGGAGTCTGGCCTGCATGGTGGGTCGTATCAACTACTTTCTGTGAATTTTTCATTTGTGCTTATAAATATTATAGTTGTTTGAATTAGCCACCGGCGACTATTTGTTCCAACCGAAAAGGGGAAGGCATTATTCAAGAGATGAAGGTTGTCTTTTCACTACAGATGGTGCGCTGACGCTTATTGCACCACCTGCTTTCCACAGACCATCTCGCCATGATAGTCGAGCTTATAGGCCCCATCCCAAAATCGCTTTACGACAAGGGAAAACTTAGCAAGAAGTTTTTAGATAGCAAAGGCTGGTTTTTATTATATACCTTAGTACGTAGTTGTTCTAATCAAGTTTTATATAAAGGGAAGCCGAGGCATATTAAGGACCTAAAACCGTGGGACCTGTACAGCGTTCTATTGGAAAAGTACGATTTTAACCCGGAAGAGGTGCTTCTTTAATGACTGCAAAATGGTTTGACTTCACTATATACATCTGTTTAGGCAGAAATTTTTTCTTCCTTTTTGTTGCCTATGCTCTCAATTGACCCAGAAACAAGGAGCACCGCCGCGGAAAGTTTGAAGCATCCTTTTTTGAGAGATACTTGATGTTAAGCAAAATATTGCAAATATATTGGTTAAATAGCCTGTGTGCATCCGGAAAATATAATAAAAATAATTTTTATCTGTTTTATTCCGATAGTTAAGGAAGTAGAATTATTATCCACAAACTGATGACTTAGATTGTTATAAGTCTCGTAGGATGAGGGAAGACATACGGGCGGGTAACCACAGATCACCTTGTATGCGGTGTAGTGGATGTTTAGCTGTAGGGGCAAGCCTTTCTTTTCCTCTTATTGCAATTGTGACAAAACCAGCTAGTGCCGTAGTCTGTGGGAACGGCTTCGTCGAGGCCGGCACATGCGATGTGATACCAGTTCTTGCAATTTTCGCAGGTGGCTACGGGGAGGCCGTTCGAAGGAAACGCACAAATACCGCATGATACTGGCTCCTTTTCGGGCAGCGTTTCCTTGTGTGCCTTCTTTGCTTTTTCCTCTTCATCTGTGAACGGTGTTCTACTGCGAAACATCCTACTTTTAGTATTGCTATCCGGCATTTCAACTTTTAGTTTATTTTCACTTTTTCTATTTTTTTTGTTAGCAACTTTTTCATTAACCTCTTTCGCTACTTGTTCATGGGCTTCGTGACTTTCATTGGATACCTTGTTAGATCTTTCTTTAATTTTTTTTCGCTGTTTATGCTCTTTTCTTTTTTTTATAACTAGATGTAACAGCCCAAGATGGTCTTCATCAGTGCTTACATCGTTAGCTATAGAATGGTAAAGTGACATTCTAGCGACTGCACTCTCGTCATTCCCCTTACAATTGCTTTCTTTGCTCGCGCTACTCTCCTCTTTCAGGCCCTTTACACTAATGGGTTCCACTGCCACACTTGGAATTGTTAAAGGACTTTCCAGGTTAAATTGGGGAAAAACCTCCATAATTATGGAAGTCGCATTTAAGTTATTACAATCAGTTGTGCTGAAAGTATTGGTGTTAACACCGCTGTCACGGCAGACCCTATCGTTATTTTTGCTACCAGCATCGCGTAGAGATGTTGCATTACCGGCAATATTAGACAAATTAGAGCCCTCAAGCATTTTAGCGTCTACTGACACCGCCTCCCGAGACTTTTCCACACTGTCTTCATTGTGACTCGCTTGTAATTTATCTTCAGCTATTTTAGAAAGCAAATGAGATTCAGTAAAAAGCTCTTTTAAGTCAAGTATTGCTTCAAAACCGGAAGTCGCGGAAGTGAATGAATTTCCTGTGGGGGTTATTCTTTGGGGCACTTCCGAGAGATCCCTTTTAATCCGCTGTTTAATTAATTCCGAAAGCGTGATTTCGTCTTCTATATCGTCTTCTGTTATATTCTTGCCTTCGAACAGCAGATCAGCATGGGTTGGAACCGATTGCCCTTCAGAAGTCATTTCAAGTACGGGCGACGAGGGAGGCGAGGGCGATTGGGCAATGTCTCGCAACAAGTTTTTGAATGACTCTGATGCTTCCATAAGGGCTTCTTTGTCCATTATATGCTCTTTATCGCTGTCCTCTGCACCGCTGGATATGTCTGTAAGACCCTCTCCATCGTCAAAACTCCCGGAAGGGAAACAAATCTATGAGATAATATTAGAACCCTGTCTCATCCAAGAAGATAAATAGAAGCCTTAAGGAGATTGGAAAGCGGTGACTTCTTATTGGAGTAAGCCTCTCGCGAGACTACGCCCCCAAGTGACATGAACGATAGGTTATCTGTGTAAGTTACTTGGTCATACTCGTTAAGCAGTACTTGGGCGCATTGTTCTACTAAGCACAAACACTGTTTAGCTGATATAAACGGAGCAAACCACAAAAAATTGTAACTATTTTCCGTGTTCGTTTCAAATACTTCATTATATGAAAGGTTTTGTATTGGAACAACTTTGGTAAAATGTAAGAAATTATATGTTTTACATTGCTAATATGAAAAACTACTTTTCTTAGGAAGAGGGGGGAGTTGGCAGCCGCCACAGCTTCCATAGCTTCCGGTTATTTCAAAGCTTATGGTATCGTCGACGCTTACAGGGATAGAGCAAGCTTCTTAATTAAAAATAAGAATTTAACAGTGATCTTAAACGGCAAAGTTATGTAAATACTATTTGCCTTCAAATATATCCCGCTCCTCAGAAGACAAGTGAGAAAGTGAAACTAAACGATTTTCCTGAGAGACTTTTATCGCTGAAGCCATAGATGGAGCAGGTAAAGGGGACATTTCAATACTGTCAATAACTTGGCGTAGTTGAGAGAGCCCAGTTTCGAAATCCTCAGTCAAAGCTCCGAGCAGATCCAAGGCGTTGACTTCGGTTCGGGAGCACAAAGAGGCTCTCTTCTCCACAGCTAAAAAACCACTCAAGACACAAAGAAATCAGTTTATATACTCGTTTTTTAACTACCTACTCCAATTCGATTCACGTAGAAAGAAAAAATTTCAGTTAAAAGCTCACAAGCGGAAACCTGAATATGCTGAAAGCCCACAGCCTAGAAAAGCAGGAGTTTAAATAAAGCCAATACTAGGAAAACCCGGCAAAAAGATCCCATCGAAGAATATTGCTATAGTTTATTAATAAATGGTCTTGATTTAAACTATAAATTTTGCTAGCTATGAAACTTGACAGCGGAAGTTGAAAATTATTACAAAGTAAAGAGTTAATTAAAATCTATAAAAACTTATAATATTAACAGAAACGCAATTTACCAGACAAGTTTGGGCAACAAATATTTTAATAACATCACGAGCAAATTTTTCTGGCATAGCTAAGGAAAGTCTTAACAACTATTGCAAATATAGATTAAAAAGATGACTACTTGAGAAATAATCTTTTCCTGATAAACGTAGTTATTAAATATTTTTATAATTTGTGACCACCACAAGAGCAGTAATTGCAACCGAAGCGTATCATGGAATCAGACATAAACCATAGTGGGATTTTCACTATAAAAGTATAAAATAGATTAAGGCACTACTTTCATAAAGGCGACTGGTATCAAAGTATATAAAAAACTAATTTACATTATATACCTTACTTTCATAAATGATTCAAAAATAAAACTGTAAATCTCAACAACCCTAGTACCTTTTTAACTCAGTATGTTAACTTATTAGCCTCTCGGAATAATTGCCCAGCCAAAGGAGTTAGAGGGCTCGCACATGTTAGTAAAAGAATGCTCCAGTCACGGAAAATAGTAAAAATTAAAATTATTTAAAAAACACTGTCCCCGCTTTTAGAATAGTAAAATATACTACTAATAGTAATGACAACGACTTAGTCATTAGCTGGTGCGAAAAGTCAGAGCTAAGGTCTTAGTTCTAATAGATACCCTTTACCTTTGCGCTTTCTTACTTATACGACTCCATTTTTAGCTAATAACTAAACAATTCTATAAACATGTATATTAGGGTAGCACTAAATCATATATTTTACTTTTAAGCCATCTCCCTAAGGAGCTTAGACGACTTGCTGAACACTATAAATGATTTAAGTGTATCATTAAGAAGCCAAGTCGCTAGTGGGCAGTCTCTAGTTGCTTTTTTTTAAAGCATATCCTATTTAGTCTCTAGTCCCTAATTACAAGGAGAACTTTGCAAGCAGGTCACTTAACTCTGGTAAAATTCACACACGAGTCCTCTTCAGAACTATGAATTTGTTAGAGTATTGACAAAACAATGTCCTTTATGATGTAAATAATATGTAATTTTTTGGTCAGTTTTTATTTAAATACAAAACACAGATTTTTATAACGCATTTAAAACAAAACTAAGGATAAATTCTGGAATATGGTTTATTATAAATGTAAGTAAGCGTAAAAATTCTTATAAAGATATTATTAGATACAAAAAATAGACTTAAAATAGAAAAATTAAAAAAATAAAATGAAAGAGAATAATAAACAAATAAAAGACAGATAAATCCCGTATATGTTTATTAATGATAGTACTGATATTTAAAGAGTCCTAAACCTAAGTGTTGAAGAAAACTATTTATTATACACCGACTGGGGATACGCAAATCCCTAAACCAAATAACGGCGACCGTTAGCGGAACAGAACAAGAGACCAACGAAAACACCGCTTAAAGCAAGGCTTTATATACCCATATAAAAATAATCCTCACTATTAAGTCCAATGAAAATGCATTACAATAAAAAATAAGGAAACAAAATGTAACTGCGTAGTATAAACTACTAATTAAAAATGAATTTCATTGTTTCTAATTATGATTAGTCCAAAAAAAATAACATAAAAAGAACTTTTAAAGCTTTCTACTTAAAATTTAACTAAAAAAATTTAGTGGATGTAATCTTATTTCTGCGAATATATTATTAGTACTATTTTGTGATATTATATATGTATAGGCAAATGAGGTAATTAAGCGTTCTTTTCTTTTTCTATTTAGGAAATGTACTCTACGGACCCTTCATTTACAGGATACTGTTAATATGTAACCCCATTAAAAAAAATGGCAAGAAAAAGAGATGCCTATCAGTATATTCTTTCGAATGGGTAAAAATGGCTGGTCCAAAGGACGGAAAAAACAACGGAGAAAATGGGGCTCAAATTTTCCCAGTTTGGTCAAGAGTGGTGGATGACCGCCAAAAAAACCATGACTACGGTCACTAGGTTTGAGGTCGCCTGAAGACGCTGTAACAAGGATTAACAAGAATGTATAAAATACAATTTTTGCTTGCAAAAAGTTCTTAGTTCCTTAAAAATGTATTTGAAGCGTTACTTAAGATTACTAAATTTATATGGAATACTCTAACTGTTTACTGGTTAAAAGAGTTTATATTTGATCTATTTTATTGTTCTTGTTTAGTGGTTATACTATAAGGATAAAAAAGTTGAGGGTACGTAGCCCATGCACTATGGTTTAAAATTTAAAATACTTTAGTATTAAGTAATAACTTGCAATTTTGATACTCCACTAGATTCCTATAGTTAGTTCTTAAAGTAAGCAACCTGTAAAAGTTTTATAAAATGTTATTTCAACGTTTGTTGTGCAGCGTGAGTTTGTTTCTAGCACAAAGTAAGGGGTAAAGAGTTTGAACTGTCATCGTGACCTTCTCTGTGAGATAGTTTACGTGCGGCCGCAACAAGAGCTTATTATTAATAATGACCCCCAGGTATTTCGCCTGAGGACACTGGGGATTTAACCTATTTTCAAAGCTCAGTGGTGGTAGTGGTGTAGTGCGCTTCTTTGTGAAAAAAGGGCTTTACGCTTTTCCGCTTTAATAGTAATGTGTTTTAACACGACACCATTTAGCAAGCGTTACTAGGTGGTACTGAAAATGCATGCGCAATAGGGCAGGTGACTTTGGGAGAAGTAAATTCCGTGTCATCTGCATATAAAGCAATCCGCGGGTGAGATCGTCAGGCTGTGGTACGTGCATAAAATGCAAAGAGTAGGGGTGATAAAAGAGATCTTTGTGGCCTTCGCCTTTAAGTGGTATTAGAGGTGAGCGCGTATCGCCCACCTGTATATTAAAGACGCCCTCCTCAGGATAAGATTTTATCACATTAAAAAGAGTAGTAGGAAGGGCTATGGCGCGTAATTTGTAAAGCATACCCTTGAAAAATAGTGCCCGTTTCCTCCTTTAAACTGAAGGCACAGGTGGCCAGTTCTGTCAAGCTGAGGAGTTGTTGAGTAGTGGAGTCCCCTTGTCGAAATCCAATTTAGAACTCTTGCAGGGGCTTGACTTGTGTTAACAAATGCTATCAAGTGGCGCAATATGACCGCCTCAGCTACTCTGCCAACGGCTGACAGGAGGCTGAGAGGCCTGATGCCGAGAGTCCTCATAGAGTTGATGAGGCATATAGGCGATACCGTCGGGGTCGGGTGCCTTCCGTCTTAACAAAGTGTTAATAATCTCTACGATTTTCGGCTATAATGATTGGCTCAATGTGCCTCGGCATTTTTAGATTCACAACGCACTTCATCAGTAACTTAATAAGCAGGTCACAAAAATGCCTCCTCACATGGCAGGTTATTGTAAACGCTCCCGGTTTTTGTATTTACTAATAAACTTCCATAAAGAGTCGCGACCGTTACTGTTATCATCCAATGTATACTTAACTTTGTCTCCCACAACCGCTTGTGATGCGCTAACAGCTCTTTCCTAATGAGCCAGTGTAGTCTATTAAGTGCTAATTTTTTTTCGAGGCATGTGGCCCCGTGGACGCTCGATTAAAGCGTCACCGCTGAAAGATAGGAGTCTTCGATTCATCTGGCAAGCGGTTAGGGAAGAATTCAACTGTACGTGTTGTCGCGGCGGTGTACGCCTCGAGTTCAGCTACAGCAAAGTTAAGTAGGACGGGTGCCTTGAGTAAGGCGGGGGGTGTTGAGTAAATTATATCCGGAACCTCGGAGAATTGAGCCCAGCCCGTAAAAATTCTCGGTTATGGCCTCAGTAACTCCTTTTTGTCGCCAAACTAAGGAGAACCGGCAGATGATCCGAAGAGAGTAGGGCTTCCATTGCTGTTAAAATATGAATATATTCAAAAAGGCCATGCCATACGTCTGATATCCTTGTCTCCGCTATTTGCGTTAGGTAATTTGGCCATAAGACGCCCAGTTTGCGTTTGTAGGTGTGAGATTGAAGATTCGGCGGTTTGTGTTATTCGACACGGCTGTGTCAGGTGGAATGCTTGCAGTTAAAATCCCCACATATAAGTACTGAGGCAATATATATAGAAAGCGCATCAAGATCTGAGGTAACAAGTGGGCTGCTGGGGGACTTATAAGCTGCAATTCCTGACATGGATCATTAGCTGATTGAGGAGAGGGAAACTCTAACCGCTTTAATGCTTTGCAGGGGTGGCAATAATATCACACTATCTTGAATGTTTTGTTTAATCAGTTTAGCTACACCTCCGCGATCCTGGTGGTACGTCGAAAGGTTGCAGAGATTGGATGGAACGCTGAAAAGACGGGTCTCACCAATAATACAAAGATCTATTCTTTCGCTTAGCTTCAATTCCTGCAACTCTTGTTACCTTGTAGAACGCCATCTGCGTTCCAGAACAAAAAATGGATAGGACGAAGTGCTTTTAGTTACTAAAAACCATTGCCAAACCGAATTTATAGGCCCTTGACCTTTTTTAACATTATTGAGATGTTTGTCGTCAACATTGAAAGGAGTTATCGAAGTGTTGGTAGAGTTGACTGGGGAATTCTCTTTTTGGTCAGGAGAGCGGCATAAAAAGTTGGCGGAGTTACAATAGAAGGGGTCTGTTTAGAAAGCGGTGGTACAGAAGTTTGATAGGATGGGTAGATATTCGCTGAGAATGTTTACAGCGGGGGCCCTATCTAAAACTATTAAACCAAAAAAATTTTCAGCTGGATCAAAAATCTACACACTGACGACAGAGTTGATAGGTAAAGAGCTTTTAAAAATGGAGAGATTAAGAAAAACATCACTGAAAAAGAGTGATGTACATAATGAAAAAAAACTAAAGGGCACCTATGTTTCTTATTATATAACCAACTGTATACTACCCTCTTTACTAATAAATTTTCTAACTATATTTCCTAGCCTTTAGTTAATGATTTAATCTAGCACCCGGAACTCGAATCTATCCCGCTAGTAGGGCAGATTCATACGAATGTCAAACATGGTTGTAAACAAGAAAAACACAACTTTAATCACATTGTTCTACATCGTAACCATTTCCACCTGTGTTAGACAAAGTCTATAATATATCTTCTTGAAGGTAAACATTAAAAAATTTTGATTTTTAACAGATTTCTCACATAAAAGATTTTGAGTTCAGCTTTGCCTCTAAATTAACCAAATTTATTAAGTGTTGCTTCCTTGCTTTTTGGTGTAAACTTGATCATGGAAACTTCAAAATAAGATTTTACATATTACCGTTGATAGCAGCCCCGTTATAAAACAAAACTATCTTTTCTTAAAGAAATCATA